GGATCATGAAACCAAAAACTCAGTATATTTGTTGCTATGTTATTGATGCTTTTAAACAAGTGATGTCACAACTAAATCTCATCTTGCACGTGTGACTTTTAAGGATGAAAGATGCAATATCTTGCATGGGGTGAAGATGGCTCTTGGCTATCTTTGTTAGTGTTGAATGGGATACAACATTTGAATTTCCACACAAAAACTTATGGAATCTTACGTATATGAGCTCATATATTACACTTCATAAATTCTAAGGGATAAAAATTATCCATTCTCTCAGACGACAGGGAAAATAATAACCAAACAAAAAGTGAGAAAAACAACATTTTTCTTTTGAGTCGACTATGTGGGCCGATCCAGTCAGAAAAAATCCAAGCAGTGCTCGAAAAACTTTTATCATAATTAGAAAGTTGAAACCATTTCTAAGAGAATGCTGTTTTTATTACATCGTATTTATTTTCATCTAATTAATTTTTTTAAAAACTCATTACAGTTTTTACTTCAACTCAGTTAATTTTCGTCACCGTACAAAAATTTGTACTACTGTATTTTTTGACGCTGTACGGTGACGCCTGCTTACGCGATGGTTAGGCGTGCACAGATGACTCAGGGCTGAACCATGCATGACGTGGACAGATGAGCGCACCTTTATGTGCAAGGAAGTGGTGGCAATTTGGAGGGGTAAAGGATGTATTCTTGCAAGAGTATGAGTATGAACACTTTACTGTCTATGCCAGACCTGTCACACCTTCTTCCAATAGCCCTTATGCCCCTTGTATTGACTTTTGCAATGTTTAAAACTTGGGTCCGAGCTGAATTTTGCCCCACTTTGCAAAATTAATGATTATTCAGCAAGCCATGACTCCCTGTGAATGAATGATATTCCATTGCAGAGAGGAGTAATTTAGCTTTTTGGAACATTGAATGAAAAGGATGCAGTCAGCATTGGTTTTATGTTTTCTTCCAAAATTCCATCGAGCTCCGTACACTGACTTTTGCGATGTTTATAACTTGGTCCCAAGCTAATTTTGGCCCACTTTGCAAATGGAATGATCACTCGCCCAACCATGACCAAATATCAATGAATGATATATCATTGTAAAGAGGAGACACATGGCTAAATGGTGCATTGAATGAAATCAATGCTGTTATCACTGGTTTTGTGCTTTTCCTAGATAACAATCTGTTGCGTTTTTTTGAAACGCACTGTGTAGGTAAGGATAGAGGGATAGAGTAGAGAAAAGAATTACAAAAAAATATGAGAATTTCTGACATCTGTTCGACTGCAGTATTAAGATCATTAGGTTTTTAGCTAACCATTATTATTACTTTTGTAGGTTTTGTAGCGGCGGGTATTTAATTTGGCGGAGTCAGGACTGAACTCAAGTTTTATCATTGATCTGGAAATAGCATTCAGATTCACATATTCTACGTGCAGTATAGCACTGACATCAGATAGGAATACTTACACAAGTGAAATAATTGCAAATCACAAATTACTTTGGGGATTTTCTAAAATAGATCTAAAAATTGCCAGATTATTAATTTGGCAGATTTTTTCAATCCGCAAATCCCGTCAAATTAAAACCGTAGTCAAATTAAATGTATCTACAGTAATCGCCATCTTTAAATGAAAATTAAACAGATCTGATAATTTTATTTTCAAAAGTGGTGACATATTTTTGTGGTCATGGCGGTTGGCGTCTGTAACAATTTCTTACAACTTCCAATAATTAGCAAATACTGTTTAGACTGACTTCAGATTTTTTCAAAACCATTTACAAATCTAGAAGTTAAAATCGGAGTTCAGATTTGAGATTTAACTTTCAATGACCTTTTCAAGGTAAAAAAAAAGTCCAAAATTTTTTCAGAATCCCCTACAAATTCTCAGAAGTTCCAATCTGACTTAAGATTCTACCTTCAACTTCATATACTTGATTTCAAACAAATTCTTCCAAATTCCAAAAACTTTAACAAATACTGTTTAGACCGACTTCAATTTTTTCAAAATCATCTACATGTTTTCAGAAGTTCAAATCTGACTTTATATTTAAAATCTGACCTTTTCAAGGGCAAAACAGGTCAAAAGGTCTTTTAAACTTGCTTAAAATTGACCAATTTTTTTTTTCAAAATTGTCTACAAGTTCTCAACAGTTCATTCAATGACATTTTCATCTTGCTTCAAATTGACCTTTTTTTCAAAATCATCTACATGTTCTCAGAAGTTCAAATCTGACCTTAGATTTGAGACTTGACCTTCAATGACCTTCTCAAGGTCAAAAAGTTTCTTTTTCAACTTGCTTCAAATTGACCTTTTTTCAAAATCATCTACAAGTTCTCAACAGTTCAAATCTGACTATAGATTTGACCTTCAATGACATTTTCATCTTGCTTCAAATTACTCAGATGCGAGTTGGTAGTTACCAGTTTCGCCACCAGGTGGGCGATTCGGGGGAAATAACATGGTAGGGTATTACAAAATTCCCTTAAACTTGAATATTCATCAGTTTTAGTGGTTCACTTTTCATATTACCCTAATCATAATGTATCTGATAGTTATACAAATCAAAATATGTACAGTAAAAGAAAATATTATCTGCCCAACACAAGAAAAGATATTTCCATTTTTGTGATTTTACAACATGGGGGCTATGGGGAATCTCCCTGACCTAGAAGTCACATTTTCAAAGAAAATTAAATTTTCAAAGTTTATAAACTCTTTATAAAACCATATTTTTAGATGTAATTTTACATGTAGATTCCAAATATGACATCAGTTTGACTTAATTTTGAATTTTTAATGATGTAAATCAAGATTATTTCTACTCTCATCTAGGCCACGCCCGGTGATCGTAAATATGGGACGGAGGGGGGGAGCAGGCAATTTCTGCTAGGAAATTCAACATATCTGGAAGATTTATTTTTTCAAGAAAAAGTTTACTATTGAATTGCTAAATGGATAGGCGCACGGTATGGTAGAATATGTTAGGTTTTCTGGGATTTTTTCTGAAACGATACGCATCTAAGGTATGAGATCTATTAAAAAAGGCGCAAGGCCATTAACAGGCACAAATTAACGTTTTTGCTATAAATCAAGCAACAATGGTCTGGACGACCTGTAATAAATACTTGTAAGTGATGTTATCATAACTAAATTAATGTCATTGCTGAATTTATAAAATAAGTTTCCATATGTGAAATAAAAAATAATCGAAAATAATGAATTTGGGACAGAGGGGGGGAGCAATATGTATATAAGACATGATTAGAGATGTTTCGCGACTTAAAGTCCTTTTACTCCAAATGTCCCCATTTTTCAGTCTCCAGGGGTATATCATCCAGTTTCTTACTAAGTTAATGAGTTCATTTTTCAAATACAAGAATTCGTGTGAAGTTGTTTCACTTTATAGAATTATTACTCCCCCCTCCCCCACGATCACGGGGCGTGTAGGATATTGACCATTTTTTTCAAAATTACACGTTCTCAGAAGTTCAAATCTTTAGATTTGAGATTTCACCTTCAATGACATTCTCAGGGTCAAAAAAAGGTATTTTTTCAACTTCAAATTGACCAATTTATTTTTTCAAAATCATCTACAAGTTCTCAGAAATTCAGATCTGACTTAAGATTGAACTCATAATATTGTGAGCAACTAGGTCGTGACTTTTTGTCATGTTAATGCCTTGCTTCAAATTGACCAATTTTTTTCGAAATCATCGACAAGTTTTGAGAAATTCAAATCTGATTTTTGATTTTAAGACTTGACTGTCAATGATCTTAAAGGAACATTCCTTGCCAGACTATTTCTCTCCTGATATGGTAGCTACAATCATATATATACTTTACATATTTAGCAAAACACGGGAAAAAAAATTTCAAATGGTCAATATTGATCATTTAAAAATGTAGTACTCATTCCCAGTAAGCTGCCATGTTTTCAGATTTCTTTCAGGAAGTGATGTCATCGACTCTCACCTGTTATAACCTTGTCTATTACTGTATAGGAAAGAAGTACAAAATCACTTCTAAACAAGAAGCCCTTATCTTCTATGTAAAAATATTTTCAGGAGTTGTCAACTTAGAACTAAAGAAGAGATCATCAAAAGGATTTTAATCATAGACCAAATTGAAAAAAATATTCAGCTGGTTTAGTAATTCTAATAGCTCCTTACCTAATGTTATATGCAAAGTTGAGAGTCGATGACATCACTTCCTGAGTGAAATTTTAAAAGATGGCAGCCTACTGGAATTGAGCACTACATTTTTAAGTGATCAATATTGACCATTTCAAAACATTTTTCTGTTTTTGATAAACTTGCAAAGTATGTATATGGTTATAGCTACCATATTAGGAGAGAGATGGTCTGGCAAGGAATACCCCTTTAAGGTCTTTTTCAACTTGCCTCAGATTGACCATTTTTTCAAAATAATCTACAAGTTCATCTGACAGTTAGCAGCATGTAGTGGTTGAACAAATTCTGGAAATCAAAGTCGACTAGTTGAGGCACAAAAGTTGAGTTGAAGTTGATTTTTCTGACTTTTCATGAAAACAATTATTTTAAGTAGAACATGGAGTTACACCCTCATGCTTAGATTGAAAGAAATTGAAAAACAAAATTTTGAACTTTGGATTTAGTCTTTTTAAGAGCAAGCAATATTCGCTACATGTTTTCTGAATGGCAAGATTTTATATTTCCATCAGCACGTACAAATGCCCAAGATGATTAACCAATCAAATTTATCACAGAAACTTACACGTGTGCCTGAAACAAACAAGGGCAAAAATTAATAATTAATAGCACTTGGAGATAAAAAAAACTTTCCATTTGCCTGTTTTGTTTTGTGAAATGTTAAAACATTTAGGCAAAGTAGCTTTAAATACAAAGAAAACTAAAAGTATCAAAAATCAAAATCTACACTTGCCATCCTCCATTTTGAAAGAGTGAAATGTCCCTGGTTTCATGTTAAATTATTAAACTTAAGACATATTTTTCATTTTCAGACCAGAAACCAGAACATCATGATGAAGCTATCAAAGAATATTTCACTGCACGTCTGAATGCTAAAAATGCTCTGAGCTGGGTAAGAATTTAATCGTCTTTTAAATGTCCCTTTAAAACAAGAAAGTATGCCCACAACTTATATGATTTTGTTTCTTCCACTTGACCATATATCTGATGTAAGAGAATGAACAGCATTGTATAATATGCATCAGTTTTAGACATATAAGGCAAAGTTGAAAGTATACCTGAACTATATGCATGTATCTATCTATTATACCTTTCAGATCCCATCTCTGAATGATACTCCACTACATGACTTGAAGCCTAACTCTATAGTGAGGTACAGATGCATGGTACAAGATATGTTTGACCCGGAGTTCTTTCTGGGTGTGTATGAAGTCACAGACAAAAATACTGGCCAGAGTAAAATACATTCTGGCAAATATAAAGATATTGCCTCATGTGCAGTAAGTGTATTGTAGTGCTTTCTAGTGTTCACATTGGCCCATTGTTACATTGTAACTTGCATAAGAAAGATTTCGAAAGGTTTTGTTATAGTCTTCAATTTCTTTTTGGGTGGTGTTTGGTGGGTGGTGTTCAGCATTTGTAACAAATGGCAGGTGGTGACATTTTGCATGTTAATACCTTGTTTACAAAATACAGAAATCCTCAAAGCCAGGATTAATTCTTTTTTTAAATATCTCAGAATAATCTCAAGCTAGAGCACCTCGATTGAATCACCTTTTATGTCCCATAATTTAAATAATCTACAAGCCATTCAAAAAATATAAAATCTGTGTAGTCTTCCTTGGATTCATCTATTTCACCTTGTCTAACATCAAGGTCTTATTAGATAACTTCTATATGTTAAAAATGAATAGAAATGTTTTCTCTTTGCACAACATTGCATCAATTTACACCAGTAATGATCAAACTGAGTTTTAAATATCTGATGGCAAGATTCATTCTTCCATTAACATTTTTATCTAGAATAACCTTACTTTGTAGGCTCACCAACAGGTAAATGTTGATTCTAACAGAAATGTGACAATGGAGAGGCAGAAACTGTACTGTGTTCCAATTCCAGGAGAGACTCAATGGGTCAAAAATGTATCCTTATTGACAGAAAAATCAGCAAATCTTCCATGATAATATTATCTCCGGTTTTAATGCAGTTCTGGTTTCTGAGAACATTTATGGTACACTTTTCAAAAGTTTGGATTGGCATTTCTGTCAATTCATTTTCATGTTTTTGGCATTTCAAGCTCAGTGAATTCTACCTTTGAGATCATCAATCAAGATCATGATATTTTGAAATAATTATCTGCCCCCTCCCCCTGATTAAGATTTCCTGTTTCCAAATATGGATTTATCTTTTCTCTCATTTTTCTTAACCTTAAAGACTTATTCTAGCAACAATCAATCAAAGGTAAAACCATCAACTTCTTCCAATCCTATCCGAGCCAAACGCAGCTTAGACACTGAAAGTGATGTCAGTTGTGATGAAATAAGGGGTGGCAGTGCTGCGACATCTTTACCTAATCCAGCCCAAACTTCAGGTGGAGATGTAGAGATGGAAACAGATGCAGAAAACAAACGACCTAAAACTGATGAAAACCCAGGTGAATTAAAGAAAATCAGTTTTTCAAGGTCGAACAAACAAGAAGATTGTGTGAGGTTTCATTTAATAATTTTTGAAAAAACAAAGATATATTTTGATTTTTGACATGCTTGAGGAACTTTAAAATATGTTACAGTAAAACATGTATATCCGATCACCTTTCTCTTCTGAACATCTCTCAATGTGAACAATATATTGACCTTTTGATTCACATACTAAGAAACCTTGAAATGTGAACACATGCTAATTTGAACACTTTTGACCAGCTCCATTGTTTATCAGGCTTAGCCATATGAAGTGTAGTTATACTAGTTACATCTGGACATGTATACAAAAGAAAAAGACTTCTCATTATCATAATGTCCCTTGAAGTTAACCCGCATCCAATGATCCAACTGTGCATGCCTATGGTGTGACTTTTAGCAAAGAAAAGACACTATACAAGCTTTCATTTGACATCTTATTATTGTCCTAGATATATGAACTGATGCTCATACATCATGCAGAAATGTTAAAAGTAAGTTTAAGTTACAGTTGAACAATGGTACATTTTATTTTTGCAGGGGGTTCTTCCATCTCTGCACCAGATTTGAATTTCCCACTGCCTCGTGAACAAGGGCCCCCTTGTCTTGTAAAAGTAAGTAAAGTTACAATGTAATACTTAACATTTTCCCAAATTACTGCATATTATTTTCATTTTATAGTTTTCTCTCCAGTATTAGAGCAACTGGGTTCTGTATCCTGTTGAAATTATGAAAAGTAGGCTATACATGTATGCCAACCCTGTTGAAAATCTGAGAACTACATGCCAACCCTGTTTTGACTTGTGGTATTTTCAACAAAACAGTATTATGTTGAGAAAAGTCTAGGGAGATTATTTTTCAAATATGAATTTTATCCCTTAGGAAATCTAGTGTGTAGATATTGATATAAGATTGATGTCATTTCCACATCAAATCATTTCCCTCCTGTCAAGGTCAAAGCTATCCTTCTTGTTTGAATTGACCTAAGTGAACATGTTTTGCAGATATATGACGATTCAGACAGCATCAAACTGAATGATATCTTCGAGTTTATAGGTGTCCTATCTATTGACCCTGCCCTGGCCAACTTTTACAGTGAAAGCAGGTAACAATTGCTGCTCAATATCACTTTATTTGAAATAAAAATTAAAGTTTTTCTGCAAAAAAATCAATAACATTCTGTTAATCAGTAGTTTGTTATGTCACACCACAAGCAGTATTATATTGTTATCGTCTCCAAGTTTTTTGTTGAAAGTGTTCAGGTGTTGTTGGTGTTCAGCAATTGGCATCCGTTACAAATGGCAGGTGGTGACATTTTGTATGTTAATGCCTTGTCATATAATTCTCAAGGAGTTAAGGAAGAGTTAAGTGGTAACATACTGATATAGTGAATCTGTGATATACTCCATCTGACCAGGCGAATTTTGTTATGTCAAATAGCCACAATTTCTTTTTGACGGGATGCAACTTTGTCATGTTAATGTTTTTGTTAATTGTCTTCCTCATATTTTGGCAGAAAATGAATGATTGTACTTGTACAAAATTATTTTGTGACAATCGGATTTGTTACTCTATGGATCAATTTCAATATCAATAAAAATCTTTTGTTACCAGTTGCATACAGTGACATTTTGTTCATTGATAATTATTTAATGTTGTTTCTTTTCAGCGAAGAACAGTCATCATTTCTTGACCCTGCTGAAGCGCTCTCTAATATGGAGGAAGAAAATGTACATTCCCCACCTCCATCATTAGTTCCAAGGCTACATGTGATACTAACAGAAAAATTAAACCATAATAATCCACTTTTGCCAATTTCCACAAAAAGTGATGACTTTAAATCATGTAAGTTGGATAATGAATATTATGGTGAATTCATTGTCTATTGTTAGTCTTTTTAAGTGCAAATAATATGAACAAAAACTTCACAATTTCCTTATTGAAACATCTTTATTCTAACCTTCTCATTTTAATTTCCTACATTAATTTTTCTGTTCAATTTTTAAATCTGTCTTTGTAGCATGCCTTTTTCTCTCTTTTGCTCTTCTCAAGAACTAAAACTAAAAAAAAAATTCTGGGACAGAATATTCTTCTTTCATACGGTAAAACTTGTCTCATATTAACGTTTCTAAGACAAGCTAAATACTAAGGTATTTGGATCAGGAGGCATGCATTATATTTAGGTTTTACTGTATATTGTTATCCCATCGAACGAAGTTCGGAGGGATATAGGGAACGCTTCCGTCCGTACGTACGTACGTACGTACGTCAGTCCGTCCATCCGGGCAATAACTCAAATACCGTTGGCCCGATTTTGTTCATATTTTGTACACATATACCCTATGGGGGTAGAAGTTCTGCTCGAAGTTCAAAATGGCCGCTCATTTCAAAATGGCGGCCATTTTAGTGCCGATTTTACAGTAATTTAGGTGTAATATGTAAAACTGTAATAGCAATATGTTTTAAATGTAAAAAAATTATAAAGGACATTAATAATGCTACAAATGTAGATATATTAAAGAAGCGCATGGCAGCCATCTTGAAAAATGGCGGCCTTTACTCGTCATTTTACGATTTTTGCTATAACTCAAAAAATAGTGGAGCGATTTTGTTCATATTTGGTATGTGAATACAATAAGCATTGCACACTGTCTAAAAACACTTTTGGTAGAAGGCGGCCATTTTGAAAAATGGCCGCCATTTTAACTTATTTTAATATAACTCGAAAAGTAGTGGAGCGATTTTGTTCATATTTGGTATGTGAATACTATAAGCATGGCACACTGTCCTATGACACTTTTGGTAGAAGGCGGCCATTTTGAAAAAAAAATTGAAAAATGGCCACCATTTTAACGTATTTTACTATAACTCGAAAAGTAGTGGAGCTATTTTGTTCATATTTGGTATGTGAATACTATAAGCATGGCACACTGTCCTATGACACTTTTGGTAGAAGGTGGCCATTTTGAAAAAAAATTTGAAAAATGGCCGCCATTTTAACGTATTTTACTATAACTCGAAAAGTAGTGGAGTGATTTTGTTCATATTTGGTATGTGAATACTATAAGCATGGCACAATGTCTATTTCTAATGACACTTTTGGTAGACGGTGGCCATTTTGAAAAATGGCTGCCATTTTAACGTATTTTACTATAACTCGAAAAGTAGTGGAGCGATTTTGTTCATATTTGATATGTGAATACTTTAAGCATGGCACATTGTTTAGTAAAACTTTGGGGAGTAGTCGGCCATTTTGAAAAATGGCCACCATTTTTATGTGTGTAATTTTACAAGTACGTGTGCAATTTTTCAAAAATTTTAGAGGTGGCTACTTAAAAGCATATTATTTCTTCTGATGACAACTTGGCTAGTGAGCAACCATTTTGAAAATGGTGGCCTATCTGGTGTGTTGTTTTATGATATTTGCTATTCGTTTGTAAAAATGCCAGCCATTTCTGTTCGATGGGATTCGCTACGCTTTGGCGTTGCCGTTGTTCTGGTTTACTTTCCATTTTACACTGTCTAATATTCCATCCTTCTGCTTTAAACTTGCAACATTATTTCATTTACGAATTTGGCATCATAATGCCAGAAAAAGTCACGAGGGAAACTATCAGAATTGTGATTATAACATTTTTTACATTAATCTGAGGCAGAAAATATTCTTAACATACAATCAACTCCAAGAAATCATAAAATGTTGAAGTTGATCGTTTGATGAATCTCAGTCTATCCCAGGGCATCTCTACTTACACTTTATCGAGTAGAATGACTATATAGATGTTCAGTGAAATTAGATGCCAGTGTCAAGTTTATATAATATCACCCACACAAATATCCTTATGGCTATCTTCAATCACTATGTGTATATTGTATTGTTTTGTATCCGAATTACCGCATAACATAAAATATTGCAATGCTATATCTGGCTAATAATATTTTAACATTTGTAGCACAATCCAATATACTTAGTGAGGCCTTACTGCTGAAACAACAAATGTTGACTGTGCTTGAGAGGGCTGTGTTTGGGGATGGCCTAGCTGCAGAATACCTCTTGTGTAACCTCATTTCATCAGTGTAAGTACTTCCTATTTAACCTCATCTCATCAGTGTAACTACTTCCTATTTAACCTCATCTCATCAGTGTAAATACTTTCTATTTAACCTCATCTCATCAGTGTAAGTACTTCCTATTTAACCTCATCTCATCAGTGTAAGTAGTTCCTGTTTAACCTCATCTTATCAGTGAAAGTACTTCCTATTTAACCTCATCTCATCAGTGTAAGTACTTCCTATTTAACCTCATCTCATCAGTGTAACTACTTCCTATTTAATCTCATCAGTGTAAGTACTAAGTACTTCCTATTTAACCTCATCTCATCAGTGTAAGTACTTCCTGTTAAACCTCATCTCATCAGTGTAAGTAGTTCCTGTTTAACCTCATCTTATCAGTGTAAGTACTTCCTATTTAACCTCATCTCATCAGTGTAAGTACTTCCTATTTAACCTCATCTCATCAGTGTAAGTACTTCCTATTTAACCTCATCTCATCAGTGTAAGTACTTCCTGTTTAACCTCATCTCATCAGTGTAAGTAGTTCCTTTTTAAACTCATCTAAGTACGGTGAAACTTGTGAAGTGGAACACTTTTCAGTCCCATGACCAATTGACGTTATGTTAAAGAACCTTTTTAAGTGGAACACCTAATTATTAAGTAGTAACACAATAACAGTACATTATATTGTGCAGTACACTAAATTACAGTATATTAATTATGTAGTACACAAAATTACAGTACATTATATTGTACAGTACACTAAATAACAGTATATTAATTATGCAGTACACACAATTACAGTACATTATATTGTGCAGTACACTAAATTACAGTACAGTGTATATTAATTATGTAGAACACAAAATTATAGTATACAATTGTTGACCTCACCAGAGGTCTACCGGCAAAATTGTATACCGATACTGTAAACCGAGATACTACTGTTGACAGAGACTGAAGGTCGAGGTCAACAGTAGTTTCAAGGTTTACTGTCGAGGTATGTGATTTTGAGGGTTGACCGAATGGAGAGGTCTACAATTGTTTTGTTAGTCCAAAGAAACTAATAATACACATATAGCCGACAATCATCAATCGGCATGGCTTTATTTTGCAATGCATACTGATTAGTAAATTAATGTTAGTTTTACGTTTCTATTTGTATTTTTGTCTACCATGTTTTTCTGTAAACATTATGACATCATGAAACTTATTTTTCAAAAGTCGCGGTCAACAGTACCTAGTAGCGGTCAACAGTACATATGCCCTCAATGACAGTTACTATTTGTATAATATTGTACAGTACACCAAATTACAGTATATTAATTATGTAGTACACAAAATTACAGTACATTATATTATGCAGTACACTAAATTACAGTATATTTATTATATAGTACACAAAATTACAGTACATTATATTATGCAGTACACTAAATTACAGTATATTAATTATGTAGTACACAAAATTACAGTACATTATATTGTGCAGTACACTAAATTACAGTATTGAACCCAGAAAGTCCATTTCAGAGGGCAAAATAGGATAAAAATATATAATAGCTCCAGTCCAAAAGTCTTGAAAAATATTGCATTTGAAAAGACTGAATTGATCAGTGTTAATGTGTTCACCAGTTACTTTGTTGAGTCTTTGATTATATTAAAAAACACTGTCATTAAAGTTGTACACAATTCTTTCCAGTAAACCCATTGTTCAATCAAATATTTTGATGATTGAACATATGCTTATATTGTGGTATTGCTAAGATATGTTGACAAAAGCACACATTGTTGTTAATGGTTTTATGCATAACCATGGGAGCTTTGTTTAATGTTCCCTGCATAAGTTTGTTTATGTAGATTGGAAACTCAGTTTTTGTAAGATCCAGTTTCCAGAATTCAGCTTCATCTCTTATAATGTTTGGTTGGATTTGTAAGAGCAGCTGTTGCAAACATTGGTTGATGTCATATTTCACAACATACATGTTTTTTTCAATACCTCCAAACCATATATACATTTTATACTCAGTCATTGCTGTGAGAGAAATATCCCTTGTGGTACGAATAGCTCCTTTTTGTTTTCTTTCTCTCACAAATGAATATATGAAAGGTGTTATAAGTGGAGCAGATGCAAGCACAAATGCTGTTGTTACAATAAATACAGCAACAGAATAATCCACATTATCAAATGGCATTAACAGCCAAATGGAATATTGTTCTGTTTGGGGATCCTTACCTTGTAGCAAATTACCCAAATTTCCAGCACCCATCGCTATCCAAAATCCAAGCCATACAAGTCCCACTATCGATAATATGAGTACACAACAAACATATTTTGGTAGGCATCTGAAGGAGGCCCGTGCAATTCTAATGCCAGATTCATGAAGATTCAGTGTTTGTAGTATTTCATTCATCTTTTCTTCAGATATTGTGATACCTCTTTGCTCCAACTCGTCTGTACCATTTTCGGGCATATCAAACTTCAGTTTTGAACCACAGCATCTTTGCTGGATTGTTTCCCTAAGTAGGAAAGAGGACCCATTGGCACGTAAATTAGCATCCTGTGGGATAAACCCTTGGCCAGGCTTCTCTACATGCTTTCGTAGCATCACCGCAGCTTTCGGTATATCTCTATCTGTTACATCGACGTAGTTAATGTGCTTTATCGTGTCTGGTATGGGGCACTCTTCCAGCATGATTGGTAGTAAGCTGATATTATTTGCTACGGATGCAGTCTGCGCCATCTGCATTTCCCACTCACACCATCGACTGTCCATGAATGCGGGTGTCAACACAAACACAGTTCTCATGCTACCTGTGATACACCGAAACATCTCATTCATATCATTTTGACCTGGCAGGAAGTCCCGCTCACTGAATGCACACTGGAGATTATAGGGCGGAGCTTCAAGAATTTTCACAACAGCCCAGACCCATGCTAGGTTCACAGAGGAATGGCAGAAGAATAAATGATACTCCTTCCCTTCCTCCAATTCATGCTCCAAGATTTCACCAGCCACGACACCAGCAGCATCAATATTTACAATGACCTCATCCATTATTTCATTTTCTTTATCATATTGTTCCTTCATATTTTCGACAACATGCATCTCTAATCCAGAAGCTCCACCATCTTCACCTATAGGTGTGTTGATCCCTTCGATATCTTCATTATCATGTTCAATTAAATGTCTGTATTCATCACCCATTGTTGTTGCTGTTGTGTTTAGACTAACTAATCTTTTGCTAGAATATTCTTTGCACTCTTTAAAGGAATTATGTTATACTGAATGTTTTGTCTAAAATATTAGTTTCTTCTAAGAATGAAATCTACAGCAAGTAGCAGAGACAAGGAGGTGCTACTTGATGCATTTGCTTCATGTGAGCTCATTTTTTCTTGTAATCATCACTAAACAGTTCTCGGAAGTTCCAAAAATAGATATCACATCTTCTCTGAAGCATTGGAAGTTGTATGCCAATTTTTATAATAAACATAGCAGGAGATTGAATGACTCACTGTCTATGAAAGTTGAGATTCCCGCTTATGAATCACACCTCGACTATGAATGATCTGCAATGTGGAATTAATAGCACATTGCATTACACTATAAATACACAAGGACAATGCTTGATTTTATTGCTTTTCCTGATACTTGCATCTGGATGATTCCAGGTTAGTGCATATTGGGAAATGTAAAGGCATTGACGGGATGCTTGCAAGGACAGGGCAATTTGCCAGTCATGAAATGTCACTCTAACCTTGGCACTCAATTTAGCTTAATGTTAACTGAAACAATATTAACCGAACTACAGTCTAACAAAAATGTGCATGGTTTAGAAATCCAGAAAGGTTGAGAATGGTTTAAGAAATAAGTGTCTGTAACAAATGGCAGCTGGTTATATTTTGCATGTTAATACCTTGTTTTTGAAATGTTGCAGCTGTTAAACATTGAATAAATAACTACAAGTAGGCCTATATTAGATCATTTTTGGAGGGGCCGTATATGCTTTAAGTATTGCATTGTATTTATACATCCTTAATTTAATTGTAATATCATGGTTAGAATCAATTGCTCTAGTCATTACATGTGCATCTCTTTAAAGGCTCATGGAACGTTATAAGCACTTTGTATCACACCTCCTTGACAGTATGGGTTTTACGATTTTTTTATCACATGACAAGTGACTTGTGTTTTCACACTCGCCAATGAAAATTTACACTCACCACAGTGTTGTCACTGATGATAAATTATAAGTATACTCACAGTTTTCTTGTGAATAAAAATCTTTAAAAAGAAAGTATTATGTTTTTCAAAGTACTAAAAATTGACTTTGTTCTATAATATTCCACAATGGCGAATTTCATATTTTTCATGTTAAACAATGTGGCAAGGCACTTCAATTTTACACTAGACTCTAAATATTTTCATCCACTTGGGGCTACTGTCAAGTGGATATGACCCACACTGCTTGACTTTGACTCATTAGGTCCTCAGTTCCAACCTCGCTGACCTCATTCCTTTCACCTGAACCAGCTGTGTGGGTTGCGATCTGGAAACTCGATGTGCAAGTGGATAAATGAGTTCGGGTGGGAGGAACTGGTGGTTCGCTACTAAAGAACCAATAAAAATATCTGCAAACCTTGCATTTAACAGAATAATTTTGCTACTTTCAGATATGCACGCCGAGATGTTGCAGCTCTTGGGAAATTCAGTGTAAACATATGTGGTTGTCCTAGAGCCTCTAAGTTCCCAGACATGTACACCACCCTTCTAGAACAGCTTTCAACTAAGGTATGTTGGCTTGTGAACCAAGATCCTTTAGACTCTCGGCAGTAATTATCCCATCGAACGAAGTTCGGAGGGATATAGGGAACGCCTCCGTCCGTCCGTCCAGGCAATAACTCAAATACCGTTGGCCCCGATTTTGTTCATATTTTATACACATATACCCTATGGGGGTAGAAGTTCTGCTCGAAAGCCGATTTTCAAAATAGCCGCTCATTTCAAAATGGCCAAATTTACAGTAATTTAGGTGCAATATGTAAAACTGTAATAGTAATATGTTTTAGATGTAAAAAAATTATATAGGACATTAATAAAGCTAGAAATGTAGATATTAAAGAAGCATATGGCAGCCATTTTGAAAAATGGCGGCCTTTACTTGTTATTTTACGATTTTTGCTGTAACTCGAAAAGTAGTGGAGCGATTTTGTTCATATTTGGTATGTGAATACTATAAACATTGCACACTGTCTAAAGACACTTTTGGTAGAAGGCGGCCATTTTAAAAAATGGCCCCCATTTAAACGTATTTTACTATAACTCAAAAAGTAGTGGAGCGATTTTGTTCATATTTGGTATGTGAATACTGTAAGCTAGTGGTGCAACTCGCAAGAAAAATGCTACTCGAGTAGAAAGTGTGAAAATGCCACTGTAATCGAGTACCACTCGCAAAAATGAGGGAAAAATTAAAAAAAATTAAAAACTCACCTAGTCGACTGTTTAAAGACCAAATAGATACAATTTCTTCGTTTCTTCTATATGTTATTGATGTTATATATAGTTTGTATCAATTTAGTGAGAATAAATGTAGTTATTCATGCCATAATTGTGTTTGTTTGTTTGTTTTTAAATATTTTCATTTTGTTTCCGGAATCGATACTTTGTTTCGTTCAGTGCATCCAAAAATGATCATTCCCGGGGTATGAGATCGTTGTTTGGGAATTCAATGAATACTCAAGTTTGAAAAAACGTACTCGAGTAACTATCTTGGACAGGTTCAACGAGTGAGTGGCGAGTACTGGTATTCGAGTTGCACCACTACTGTAAGCATGGCACACTGTCTAATGACACTTTTGGTATAAGGCGGCCATTTTTCAAAATGGCCGGCATTTTAACGTATTTTACTATAACTCGAAAAGTAGTGGAACGATTTTGTTTATATTTGGTATGAAAATACTATAAGCACGGCACACTGTCTATTGTCTAATGGCACTTTTGGTAGAAGGTGGCCATTTTGAAAAATGGCCGCCATTTTAACATATTTTTTACTATAACTTGAAAAGTAGTGGAGAGATTTTGTTCATATTTGGTATGTGTATACTATATTATAAGCATGGCACATGGTCTAATGGCACTTTTGGAAGAAGGCGGCCATTTTGAAAAATGGCTGCCATTTTTGCAATATACTTTGTTTGTAAAAATGCCATCCATGGCTGTTCGATGGGATTCGCTACGCTTTGGCGTTGCCGTTGTTCTGGTTTTTCATGTTTCTGTAAACTATTGTATTATCATAATTCTGTATTAGGAAATCCAAAATGGTATCCTGATGTTGGGATTTGGAATAATTTCAAAGTATGGGCATTTTTTACTCAAATCAAGGTTCTTTAAAGTAGATCACAATTGCAGTTTTTATTTGCATACTTACTGTATGGTATTTGCTCTATTTCAAAGTGTTATATTGTTGTTTGTTCTGACTGGCATGTGTGCTTTTCTGTCTGGATGAATGGGCAGGCGGGTTCCACATAAATCTTGTCATCAAAACAAAAAAGAATTGCTTAACTTTCCTTTTTGCAAGAGCTGACTAATGCCAGGATCTGATTAGCTTTTGGGAATGCTGGGTAAATTACTTGGTGGGCATTTTAGATTCTTCAATAGCAAAAGAGCTATATTTAAGACTGTGTCTTGGTCTAATTTGTGCATTAGAAAATCCAAAAAGTTGTTTTCTCATTACAGATGTTCTGTTTAACAGATGTTCTGTTTCCTCATTATAGATGTTTTGGTTAACAGATGTTCTGTTTCCTCATTATAGATGTTTTGTTTTCCTATTACAGATGTTCTGTTTTCTCATTATAGATGTTCTGTTTTCCCATTACAGATGTTCTGTTTTCCCATTACAGATGTTCTGTTTTCTAATTACAGATGTTCTGTTTAACAGATGTTCTGTTTCCTCATTATAGATGTTTTGTTTTCCTATTTCAGATGCTCTGTTTTCCCATTACAGATGTTCTGTTTTCTCATTACAGATGTTTTGTTTCCCCATTACAGATGTTCTGTTTTCTCATTACAGATGTTCTGTTTTCTCATTATAGATGTTCTGTTTTCCCATTACAGATGTTCTGTTTTCCCATTACAGATGTTCTGTTTAACAGATGTTCTGTTTCCTCATTATAGATGTTTTGTTTTCCTATTTCAGATGCTCTGTTTTCCTATTACAGATGTTCTGTTTTCTCATTACAGATGTTTTGTTTCCCCATTACAGATGTTCTGTTTAACAGATGTTCTGTTTCCTCATTATAGATGTTTTGTTTTCCTATTTCAGATGCTCTGTTTTCCCATTACAGATGTTCTGTTTCCCCATTACAGATGTTCTGTTTTCTCATTACAGATGCTCTGTTTTCCCATTACTGATGTTCTGTTTCCCCATTACAAATGTTCTGTTTTCTCATTATAGATGCTCTGTTTTCCCATTACAGATGTTCTGTTTCCCCATTACAGATGTTCTGTTTCCTCATTATAGATGTTTTGTTTTCCTATTACAGATGTTCTGTTTTCTCATTATAGATGTTCTGTTTTCCCATTACAGATGTTCTGTTTTCTCATTACAGATGTTCTGTTTCCTCATTATAGATGTTTTGTTTTCCTATTTCAGATGCTCTGTTTTCCCATTACAGATGTTCTGTTTTCTCATTACAGATGTTTTGTTTCCCCATTACAGATGTTCTGTTTTCTTATTACAGATGTTCTGTTTTCTCATTATAGATGTTCTGTTTTCCCATTACAGATGTTGTTTTCCCATTACAGATGTTCTGTTTAACAGATGTTCTGTTTCCTCATTATAGATGTTTTGTTTTCCTATTTCAGATGCTCTGTTTTCCTATTACAGATGTTCTGTTTTTCTCATTACAAATGTTTTGTTTCCCCATTACAGATGTTCTGTTTAACAGATGTTCTGTTTCCTCATTATAGATGTTTTGTTTTCCTATTTCAGATGCTCTGTTTTCCCATTACAGATGTTCTGTTTCCCCATTACAGATGTTCTGTTTTCTCATTACAGATGCTCTGTTTTCCCATTACAGATGTTCTGTTTCCCCATTACAGATGTTCTGTTTTCTCATTATAGATGCTCTGTTTTCCCATTACAGATGTTCTGTTTCCCCATTACAGATGTTCTGTTTTCTCATTACAGATGTTCTGTTTCCCCATTACAGATGTTCTGTTTTCTCATTACAGATGTTTTGTTTTCTCATTACAGATGTTTTGTTTACTCATTACAGATGTTCTGTTTTCCTATGAAGATTGACAGTATGAACAACATGAAGTTCTCACCTAAGAAAGACTACACGGCTAACAGGCTTATCAGTGGCATCTTGCAGCTGGCAGAGCAGACACTGCTTGTTATAGACGAAACAGTACTGGAGTCTGGGCAGCTTAATGCTAATGGTGGGTGCTAGACTGAGTTGATATAGGCTATTTTGTGCCATTGTAAAATTTTCCATTGTATCCATTAATTTATCAATAGCCTAGATAACAAGAATATATATTGATACTTTTAAAAAAACATTCCTTGGAAAATACTCAATTTCAATTGAAATCCTTTTTTGGCAGAACATGAAATATGATAATTTGTTTGTAGGGATTGGGAATCTTGCTGCATTGGGAAATGTAGTGAACTGGCAGAAGGTTGAATATGACTTCAACTTCCATAAACAAGACTTCCCATGTAACATTGCGTGTCTTATTCTCTCTGAGGGGAAATCAATGATAAATGTAAGTATACTACCCGCCTCCAGAGCCCCCCCCCCCCCCTTCTCACAGGGTGCTCAAAATGGTGACCATTTTTATTGCAGAAAAATCAGGTTTTAAAGGTGCAACAAGTAGTGCAGAGGGGCCATTCAACGATTATGGACCAGTGTCAAAATATATTTAAGTTATATTTCATCAAGACTAACATCTATTTTTATTTTCTACAAAGAAACCCCCTAGATAATCATTATTTCAGCTTATATTCCTCTTGAAACATGGTGGATCATAAAAATATAAGTTTTCCAAGACAGGTGTCATACAGTCACAATATATACAATTTCAATTAATTACAAAATGACAACACCCAATAACTTTCATGCTGGGTAGATACTGCTGTCTTGCTGCATGTAGAATGGTGTGGAATCATGGGTTATTCAGTCATCTCGTTCTTTCAAGACAAAAGTTTATGAATCTATATACATGTATATGAATAATGTATATATACATGTACTTGTAATTGAACTTCATTTTTTGCAGTCTGACTTCCTAATGCCCATGTCTCTACAATGGAATGAAGAAAGCCTACCTGAGAAATTTTCAGCAATTGAGAGTTTCTTAACCCCTGCATTGTTAACTAAATTGAGAACATATCTAACGGCAGTGCAGTTCATTGAATATACATTGACTGATGATGTTCAAAAGGTAATACAGTTAAACCTAAATAGATGAATACATTAACATACAACAAAGAGAGTTTAGTTTCAACCATTCAGTTTACATACAGGGGTTGGCCCAAGGTTAATGTGAGCAGTTTGTCAAAATGACATCATGGACCGGTTGCCATGTTATTTTCCTATGCCTACTCAAAAAATCAACTTGTTCGTATCAAAAGTGACCTGGCAAATGCCCAGTGGACCAGTCTTTAGTTCAAGCCCTGTTTACATATAAATTATTGTCTGTATTCAGTCAGTATGTTATTTGTTTATTTTATGGTCTCTACAATCAGTTTGAAATGCATTTCTTAACTGTTCTTTTGAAAGTTTAGAAATATGAATACCTCAGACCGTAACATTTTTATTTATTTTTTAAATGGGTCTCATATTAAAAAGATTCTGGCTATACTCCACTTGTTAACTACATTAGTGAAATATCATTAACTCAAATAATTTCAGACAATAGAGGAAGATTTTGTTGAGCTCCGAAAAGCAGATGCTGCCACCTTTACAGTGGATGACTTTCACCGTCTCCTGACATTGGCAAGGTGAGTTGAAGGAACATACATTCACTTTATTCATGTTATGAAACACATGATTTAACCAGTTATCATACATAGGGACATATCTATGGAGTGCAGAAATAAAGAAAACACAAAATCGCTTAAAATATTAAAGGTCTTTAAGTACCTTCTATAAAATTATTATTTTGAATGGCTAAAACAATCTGAGAAGCAATAAGGTGTTTACTAACTTATTTCGTTTATATTGAAATGACCTCAAATAGGGTTTTCGCAAAAAAAAGTGTTCCAGAATTTATATAAGGAAAGACCTCTTAGCACAAGATTTCAATCTTTGTTTTTATTAACTATTGAATTTTTATGGAGAAATAACAGCAGCAATTTTTATTTGCAGGTACTTGTCCCTAAGTCAAGGCCAAGCAACACTCACCATCGAGACCTGGGAGCATGCGAAGCTTCTAGAACAAGAGCGCAAGAAGCGAGTTGCAAGCCTACCCAGGACAAGTGTCATATCATGATTTGCTTGGACATTGACATTGAGGGAGAAACATATTATCAAGTAAAAGTGTCATGACATATGAACTCCTCATTACACTGCAAGTGATGTATCATAATTTGTATTATATTGTTGAAAACAGTATGCAGTTGTGCAGTATTGATACTGATGTAATGCATATGACATTGCCTAACACCTAAAGTACACATGAAACTTTCAGAATTGAGGTATTTGAATAAATGAACAAAAATTATAATAATATTAGTATGTAAATATATATTTTATTTTATAAAATAAATGAATTTTTCGTTGTTTTTTGTGATAAGCCATTGTATGATCACAAAGTTGAAGATAGGATTGATTTTATTACAAAGAATAAGAAATGCACAAAATGATATCTCAAACAAAATACAATGAAAGGGAACCCGGAGCAGGTTCTGTTCACGGTGGTTCTCAGATTGAACAGCCAGGCCTCCATCAATGAGTTGCATCCTTCAGTCAGTTTTACAGGAAATCCCTCAGATGCGTACCTGGACCTATTGTTTCAATTTTCATGCTTTTTATTGCACGTTAAAAGTGCTATATGGTCATTGTCTTATTTCTATAAACAATGAAATATCTCTTGTCTAAACACCTCAAATTGAAGTTAAGCTTGCTTTTCATGAAGATTTTTCTGCGTGTACTATTGAGTGAATTTCAATGTAGCATGGGATTGCTCAATATACTAAAGCAGGAAGATTTGTGGAGTCCCCAAGATCTGGATAGCAAAACTCTTGTATATCCACAATGAAGTATGCAGTCCTGGGGTTCCTTTTGCCATTTTTTGTTTGAAATACCATTTTATAGGGGTGCACAGTAAATGGGTACAATTTCACTGGTTCTTTGAGAAGGAAATGTTTTTATGCTCAACTTTTATGTCCTGTTTATATATTCTTTGTATAAATAAACATAGTTTGATTTCACATTGTATAAGTATATGAGGCCTTTCTGAATATCCAAACTTTTGTTAGGCCTATTTATAGTACTAGACTTCTGATACTGGCACACTATGTTGTGTCTCATACACTTTAATGCTTGTATTAGGAGGCCACTGATAAGACAATAGACCAAAGCTCCATTTATTTACAGGCCATTAATATGTACACTACAGTTATTTATGCCAATGGTAGTTCACATATCCACAATACAATTATTTATGCCAATGGTAGTTCACATATGTACCCTACAGTTATTTATGCCAATGGTAGTTCACATATGTATCATACAGTTATTTATACTCATGGTAGTTCACATATGTATCATACAGTTATTTATGCCAATGGTAGTTCACATATGTACCATACAGTTATTTATGCCAATGGTAGTTCACATATGTATGATACAGTTATTTATACTAATGGTAGTTCACATATGTATCATACAGTTATTTATGCCAATGGTAGTTCACATATGTATCATACAGTTATTTATGCCAATGGTAGTTCACATATGTACCATACAATTATCTATGCCAATGGTAGTTCACATATGTACCATACAGTTATTTATGCCAATGGTAGTTCACATATGTACCGTACAGTTATTTATGCCAATGGTAGTTCACATATGTACCCTACAGTTATTTATGCCAATGGTAGTTCACAAATGTACCATACACTTATTTGTGCCAATGGTAGTTCACATTGTACCATACAGTTATTTATGCCAATGGTAGTTCACAAATGTACCCTACAAGTGACGGATCACCATTAACATTGCCAGAGACCTCTACTGAGAGAACAGGTGCCAAGATGCTATAATCAGGAGAATTTGCAGTCCCTGTATCTGTAATGTAAAATGAACATTATGAAACAACTTGTAATGCAAATTCTAATGAATCAATGAGTAGTTGAAGCTTTATTCATTAAAAGACTAGAAATGATGTCTATTTCGTAGACATGTATTGAAGAAAGTTCAGCATTGAAAGATCAGTATGCAAAATATGAAGTTGATGCTATATATTAGAATTCAGTATGTACCTTAAGCCTCTCTCACATTTGATCAACGGCGACCGTAGCTTTCCAAAATCAAGAAAATCATGCATAATAAACATAGGGATAAACCTGCTGGTTTTCTACATCAATTTTGTGGAACTACGTCATCCGTAGATTAGCTTTAGTCACAAACATTTGCGCTGAGAAGCTTAGGCTATATGTAGTATTAAAGGGGCTCAGCCTTTATTTAACCCATAACTCGTACTCTCAATATACTTTGATCTAATCCTTCCATTTGTAAATATTTCAGTTTGAAATAATGAAATAACAAATGAATTAATTGACTTTTAGGTTTAAGGGGTGTATGTACGGGTGTATGTACCTCTCATTTATGTAACTTACTAGCTGGTAGATTAGCAGAAGCATCCAGTCCATCTGTGCCACACCACTCACCATCTGTTAATTCGTCAGTTGGTCCAAGCCATAACCTGTCTAGTGTAGGGTCCATACCATTCGCCTGCATACAGGCATAACATTATGTTCAGTACTTGCCAAAATTTTAGAAAACCCTAAACCTCCATTATAAATTTTCAGTGTACTTTATTCCAAGACAAAATAAATTGAAACAGATTTGAAATGTCAATTTTATTATACCTACAAATATTGTATAAAAATGTATTAATTTTGAAATAGTTTAATGTACATCCATTCATGCATATTAGGGAGTTTAAGCTTGCAATGTTCTTCACAACCTAAACGTGAACGGAAAACGTTTAAGCGATTGCATTTGTATGGGCAATTGGTCATGCGTGTAGGTTGGCGTTTCGATTTTATATGCAAGCTTAAACTCCCTATTATCTCCTAAAGACGGAAGCTCATTTTGTGTAGCTTCTAGAAATCCTTAAAATCTCAACAAAGTAATTTGTAAAACCATTGTCAAATAAATTTATTTCCCAGTGGTTGGCTGTTAATATACCTGCATAGATTGTACAAAGAACAACCCATCAATTGCAAGATTCATAATGTTTGCTAATCTTCCAAGGGGTCCCCCACCTCTCGCAGGGTCACTATCCAAGCAGAACCAAGCGGCCTCTTCACGTCTCTTGTAATAAGCGTTGGCATTGATCGGGTACCTGAATGCCTTGAGGCATCTGCTTGTAGTCCCCACTGTCTCCTCGAGCCACCCATCAGGACAGGAGGCAACGGTCTCAGTGGGGAGACCATCATCTGAAGCACAAGAGAAATATTTTAAATGAGAAAATATTCCAAAGGGCCAAAAGAATTCAAATGAAATAAATGTTGCAGAACAATGACGGAATGAGAGAATATGTTTGCACAGTGACCCGCCAGAGATAAAATAAAAAGGTGTTTCGCAAGGATCTATTTTGGATGCCTTATTTATTAAATATTCTGGGATAATTTTTCTATCAAATCAACAATAGTTTAACCTATAACATATGCTAAACTCATCTTTTTCCACGATTGACTCCGTATGATGTCATCGAACGATTTTCTTGTTTTATAGAAATGAAAACATATCAGACATTTTCACATACCGCATGTTAACTTCCTGTATGTCGTATATCCTACTGCATCGCCCGAGTCATCGTATGGGTAAGTAGTGAAATCTAATGGTCCAGTATGCGTGAAACATTCGCCAGTGTCACTGAGAGTTGAAGCAACACAAGCAGGGTCAGCGTCACACACTGCCGCACATTGTGCAGCCGTCCCGGTACCCTGGCTCGTCCCACCGATTATACGATGGTTTACCAATGTCTCGCCAGTTGTTGGACACGTGTCTAAGAGAAAAAGGCGACGAATATTTTGATGAGAGATATATTTTTACGAGTAAAACAAGCTCTTGATTGTGATACCTGAACAGAAACAGGCATGCTTTAGCATTTCAGATAACGCATTATACCGTTTTGATTGATCACATAGAAATAATACATGCCTAGCCTATGTGTGAAAAAATACGTGTATGCCTATGCAAAAATGCATGTGCAATGCAAAACTTAACTCATACTTTCTACTATTTGCCAGTGGTTATTTCTGCAAATCTGAACTTACTGCATGTTTTCCTGAACTGTGTGCAGCATGCATCAAGGCCTTCAACAATATCGTTTGGATTAATTGGCCGTTCGTGTATCCAACACTCGTTGTAGTCTCTGTTCCAATCTGCCCCATAACAGAGCTGTGAAATTCAATAGCAATGAAAGAAATACACAGATTGGTAGCCATCTTGAAACACTAGTGAGTGGCCTACTAAAAGGTGTAATGAAATAGAGTTCTCCAATTTTGGAATAACGTTTTCAAAATGTCGAGATATTTTAGTAATTATTTTCAAAAACGTTCCAATTCCACAATTTTACACTTCTGTCTTTGACATTATTAATGATATCTCTCGATCGTTTTCATAGACATCGTCAATATTTCATTCTACCATCGAATCATACCAACGAATCTTATAATGAATTGATTTAGTCGTTGCGTTTAATTTGATTTACCGAAAGAACATACCTCGACGAAAAATATGTTTTCTCGGAAGTATTCAAAAAAATCCTTGTTACCGTTGAACACTGTCTACATGTACACAAGAAATCACAGTGAACGATTTCATCGTGACTAAAAAGAAATGGCATATAAAACAAGGAAAGTACAAAAACAGTTGTTTGTTTGATTTTTCTTACATTTTGTCAGGTGAGGGGTAAAAAATAATCATACAAATGTCTTGTTTATTTATTAATGACAGGGTACATGTTTTAAATGCCCAATTATGTTTAATATTTTGATGAAATCGTTTTGCTTCACTCCATTGATCAATTTTTTTTAAAAATAGTAACGTACATATTTGAAGTAACAAATATTTGAGTCGGTAAATGTTTTTAGACTATCGGATCATTTATTAAGATTTGAGGATTTTTGATATATTAAACATATTAAATTCTAATTGTATTATATTTTTACATTATCTCGTAAGAGATAATGTAAAAATAGTTTGTACTAGCCTATTTCTCTATATAGGCTATATTATTCTAAATTCTATAATATTATTATATCATACAGACTGACCTGTGAATTCTTGCAGAAGTTTATACAGTCTGTCAAAGTGGTGAGCTCCCCACGAAGACCCGCCCCAAAGGCATATGTTCTGTCATACGTGTTCAACGTCAAGTCTGGAAGGATAGATGCAGAAAAAAATTTAGCGAACAATTTGTAAATGTATGCAGCTCTCAGCATGACACAGCACTTACCCTTTGCATTCGTTCAACTTCATTTCTTAAAAGAGAGCTTCGTCTTTATAGTTTATAACTCAGATAACTAGACTGCGCACAGGGTACATGACACTAAAAATGAGAAATTAGCATGCGATACTATTAGGTTTTAAGCAATGAACTGAATCAATGCCATGTTTGTAAAATATATCGCAAGATGGGCTTATCCAGCTTTCAGTGGGGTGCGATCGTGACATAAGCGAGCCAAAAAAAGATTTTTAAGATTTGTGAATTGTTTCATGGGCTTTCAACTAATTGAAAGCCCATGATTGAATTTTACAAAAATTGATGTGTCTTCCTTCGAAATTGAGTTAGAATCTTCAAATAAAAAGCATTTTAAAGTTTTATTTTACTAATTGAAAGCCCATGATTGAATTTTACAAAAATTGATGTGACTTCCTTCGAAATTGAGTTAGAATCTTCAAATAAAAAGCGTTTTAGTTTTATTGGTTATGGGAGGGGGTGCGACGCTTATGGAAGTTTAATGCCTTTTAAAGTTGTTTAAGATATGAATGAATCTTATTAAAATTGATTGTACCATTGATTTTCAAGATGCATGGATATTGCGTTATGTTATTTTACACCCGCTTGAGTAAACCATACTGTGACTTGCTCCATTGATCACAAGCCTAGCCCAATCTCTTATTCCACTATTGGTTGAAAACAATGAATATTATATGTTTTCTGATCATATAAAGGGAGAACTTGTTAATACATATGGCCCCACACTTTCAATTACTTCCACGTTAAAGTGAGACAAAGAACTACTCTTTATTTCTTCTTACCTTGTTTTGTAGATAATATGCAAAATGTCGCTAAATATAAAAATATCCCGACAAACATAATCTTGGATTCCATTTTTTCGATCCAACACGAAACGATTTGATTTTCTCCACTTATCAATCGGCTACTTTTAATTAAAAAAATGTTTGTATGTCCTCAGCGTTGATGGGAAAACAATAATAATGAAATGCATAAAGGAAACGAACATCACAAAGATAACATCTATTAGCTCAAAGTAAAACTTCTCATTCTAACTTTAATGCAGTTTTTGCCTCGAGCTAAATGAATAACAAACAAATGATAAATCGAATATTTATTTTGATAATTGCTTTGTTTAATTATCTTTTGAATAGAATGTCAATAGCAAAAATAATCATGAAATGTATTCAAATGGATGCTGGTGGTATGTGTAGAATTTTAAAGGATATCTAGGTGAATTTCCAAAACAGCATTTCTACACGGCGTATAACCCAAACACTCCTACATGCACGACGGAGCGTTTCATTATTGAAATTAAACAAAGAAACGCTCCGGAGTAGGAAAACTGGCTGGCGGGAATGATGAGCCGTCTGACGATTTCCCCAATAATGGGAATAAGAGGTATGAGTTCCATATTTCGAGTATACCATTCGATGGGTGTGATATTCATGTTGTACTTGGCTGGCTGTTGACGGTTGAAGCAATTAGGAAGAGCTGTACGAAGCAGTATAGTGATCAAAATTCAAAAACGTATTTGTCATTCTACCGGTCAAAACCCCCTTTGTCGATACATGTGATTAGTTGAGCCAAGATTAGAGCACCAACGTATATTTTAGTCAAATTCCAATGCTTCAACGCACCATACATTATCGTAATAGTGATTTGATGACCGAAAATCCAGTCTTAAAAATGATGACATTCTCATATTCAAGAAACGCTCCGATCCGGTTAACACAGTGAACTGGAAACGCTCCGGTAGTCTAGATCAGTTTCGGAAATATATAGCTTGCCTTTCCTTTTCAGGAAGCGAAAGAAAAGATCTATTATACCCCTTGGCATCAAAAGAAGAAAGATTAAGTCACATATAAAGTTTAGTTTTTCTCTATAGTTTTATGATTTAGCACACATGTAGGCATGACATCATCTAATGTAGGCTTAAATCAGCTAGTTGCACGTTTAGCACCACCAGGTTCAGATGTTTCAATTTGCCTAACAAGTACAACACGTTTTTGAGAGATAGATTCGATTCGGAACTCTTCTAATAATCTGAAATGATATCAAAACAAAATGGTAAGAGCGTTTCTAAAATTGTGTTCTAAATCGACGGAGCGTTTTGAGGAAAACAAGCGATTTCTCGAGAACAAGTAATGGATTTGGACTGGGATTTTAGGAAATGAGAATATACGAGTTTGTGATCTACTACTTTAACAGAAAGATTAACGTTTTCATAGAAATACTAGTTTAATTCGTAATTTGTGGTCAAATCGTCATCTTCAGATTCGTTCGATCTACACTACGGAGCTTTGATCAAGCAAATAACAGTTTACCACCAGAAGTTGAATAAATAAGATCTTTCCTCACGGTATCGTTCATCGAATAGTACATAATATTTCACCATAACATATGATATGTAAGAGAAACGAGAGAAACGATACTTACGGTCATAGTGGAATCTTCATTAGCCGCCATTTTATTTCGCTCCGGAGCGTTTCCGCGTAAATGAAACGCTCCGTCGTGCATGTATGAGCGTTTGGGCTATACACCGTGTACATATATTATTGGGGATGAGGACAGGTTTGAGCTGGTCACGGTTTTGGGAATATTTGAGTTGATTTGACTTTTCGGTTAAATTGTCCATGAAGCGTTTTTTTTAAATTGATCGATATTTTTTACCATTTTGCGATAAAAATGTGTTAGCTACTATATCTATTTCATGAACTCTAGACTTTAGAATGTTCACTGGTTTTGTCAGTAGAAATCATATCCGATTTATTCTGATCTAAATGATCATGCTTGGTGTGTCTTCTCGAATTGAATTACATTTGTGTTCACATCTAAAAAATGCTAAGATTCCAATTTTGTTCCTTGATTATATACATCTTCGACTTAAGGGGTTGTTATTTATAAGTTTAAGCAATCGAAACCTTGTGAATCAAAAATATGCCTTAATTACTTAATAGTTCGGAAAACAACAAACAACCGGGTCAACAATACGAAAAATTATGAATAGGGAGCCTATGTCAACATTTTTTTCAAAAGACACAAAAGAGGATCTTCTTTTCTGATTTTTATTGCATGAAAATAATATCCAACAACAACAAGGGTTCTAAAACTTCTTCAAAACTTCTTCAAAAGTAAAATGGCATTGGAATATTAAAGTTTTGGGGATACAGATTAATTTTTGATGACCAAAATTATGCTGAAAACAATGGATAGCATGAGTTTTCCCAATGGGAATAACGTGGGAATTGTGGTATTTCACTTTCGCATTTCAATTTCAATACCTATTTATGGCCAAAAAGTATATCATGATGAAATAAATGACAAGGCCTACCATACTATACCTAGCCATATACCTCGATATTTTTGATCGATCTGTGTTTCGAAAAATTTTGGGCCCCTAAAAAACAAATGTGGGCCCTTTTGAAATTTTGAGGCCCAATTCAAAATTTGGCCTGAAATTAAAAAATGAGGCCTTAAAAGCCCCAGTAATGACCAAAAAGGCCCACTTTTTGGGGCCTTCAGGGGCCTTTTTTCTGGGCCCACCTCAGCCCCCCCCAGACGCCAGTGCAAGTCGTGTTAAAAATGCTGACTGCATGCTCTTAGGGTGTCCGTCTTGCCCTGCTGTTCCCTAGGCCTAATATAGGCTACTAGTAGCCTAGTCTGTGATCCCATGGATGAATTTTCCTCCATGTTTCCCCTTTCAAAGATCAGACAGCCTTTGAAAGAGGAAGGCCTAACCTCAATGATGGTGACCGTCATAGCCCCGGGAATACCCTAGGCCTTGAAAGCACATGGTACTACATGGAATCTGATTTTATTCCAAGGTGCCATGGACTAAATTTTGTAGACTACTTCTCATTTGTCTCACTAGGCCTACTTCGCATTGGCAAGTAGCATGCACAGGTAGTTGAACTAGTTACACAATCCTTGAAAATTGGGACTTTTAAATTTCGCGCCGTCATAATTCCCGGGGAAATCTCGCGTTAAACGTCATGTGACCTTCACATGCAAAGAGACAACATGGCTGACACTTTCTGAAGAAATTTTTCTTTAATATTTTGTTGATCCCAACTAAATAAACAAAAGAAGGTGTACTTAAACATATTGGAAGAATGCCTACCACAATAGAGAATGCGTATGATGTGTTAGAACTTCCATCAGGTAAGTCGTTATGGTCGCTTTAGCATTTGAAACACAAAATTTTTGTCAAAAATTGACATTTCATGATGAATTCTGATGTTTGTCAGTGTATTAGATTCTCGTGTAGATACAGTAACAATATCCAGTACCGCAAACGTTGTGTAGAAGTTCACTCTGAGTTTGACAACCATACCTCCCAAAGTTCTTCACTCATTGTAAGGTTTATCTTACTGTACAGAGAGAAGTCACTGAAATTGTCATTTGAAATTTCTTACAATGAAAAATTATGAATTTGTTAGCTCATTGTGACTAAATGGTCTGCTGAGAAGCATGTATTAGGTGCTTTATATATAAATCAATACATAATTTGTTTGTAAAGATAAAACAGAAATTCTAGTGGCCAGTTCATATGGTTAAAATAACGAAATAATGAAATGTAACCATGTGTCTGCTAGTGTTGTCGCGATGTGCCATAATCGTACATCGGCAATTTTCAGTTGTAAACATCGATGCACATCGCGGTGTACATCGAGAAAAAGTCCGAGAAAAGTGCACTGAAATACCGAACGCTAATGCACTAAAATACTGAACAGAACAAATTAATAAGAGTACGCTGGTTCATCCGGGAACTTCTGGTAACGGTGAAATGAAAGTAAAGTAATTTTTTTAGATTAATGGTTCATTTCGACTAGCTAAAACAGTTTTAAAGCGAAAGAATATCAGAATACATTGAAAAATGAAATAAGACATGAAAAAGGTAAGCGATTTGCGTCAAAATAAGATAAGAAAGGGTGATTTTTAGCAAATTAATTTTTTTCTAAAAACATCGATGTTTTGTTTCAGACATCGATGCATCGCCAGAATCAGCTTTGGCGATGTATATCGCGATGTATCGATTAATCGCGACAACACTAGTGTCTACTTATCAGTTTGTTTTATGTCATCCATCCTGCTAGGTTACATTGTAAAAGGCAGCCAAACACGACAATGAAGGCAACAACATATCAATATTGATCTAAGCAGAATTTTTGGAAATTTAGATTGTCCATTTTACAAGCTCTTGGACAATTGTCTGATCATGTGACACGTGTCTGATCACGTGACTAGTTACTGTATCGATCATGTGACTTAATGACGTGTCACCCAAACCATGTCTTCAAGGAAAACAGTAGTATTTATTTTGGAAAATGTTTTGCATTCATTTGCTACTGGTTATAGCAGGCCCAATTACGCAATGAACAAAACTGCTAAATTGTTTTTCTTGCCTAACAGGCCCAATACGCAACGAACGAAACTGCTAAATTTGAATTTTTAGTCTGCTTATTGATCTATTGATTCATAAAGACCTGAAATGATGCATTCAAATAAGACCGCCTCCTAAATGAAAACACTGTCTACACATAAAGTGGTGAAAAACAACAAACTAAAGTTGAAAGATCGCAACGTTCGCTACTTTGTTCAATTCCCGAAATCTCTAAGGGGCTGCAAATAGGAAATTTTTAAGATTTAGATTTTATAACCTCAGAATACTGCCTTCAGTGTCGTGTTTGGCTGAGTTCCACAATGTAACCTAGCAGGATGGATGACTAACAAACTAATAAGTAGACACATGGTTACATTTCGTTATTTTAACCATATGAACTGGTCACTAGAATTTCTGTTTTATCTTTAGTTATCTTATTTTGTTCCTTCAACTGCCTGTTGTGGTAGTAAATCAACATTCTATTAGGCTACAAACGTTTTAGACATAAATTGCTGTTATATTTAGGTTTCACGAGATTTCGTGACTTTCAAAATCACTCACATAAGATAAATGTAAACAGTCACACAGCCTTTTTACACCAACATCAATGTGCATATACATATACAGTATGCAGGCGAAAAGTGAAAATGCTGTGCCACCAATTCAAAGTTTCTTAACTCCAAATAACACAACAAGTTGTCTATGTAAACGGTTCCTCAGCTAGCTTTAGACATGTGTGTTCAGTAAGAGCTATCTATTATATATAGACTAAGTCGTTATATGTTATCCTGTGCCAGGACTACAGTGACTCCTGAGAACATCCATATAGGCTGTCTGTATGGTTATAATGTGTGAGAAATTTCCATGCCTTTTACACTTAAATGACCTACCTCAATAAATTCCTGATTTTTTTGTTCCGCCAATCAATCTATATGATTGGGAATTCAACTATACAAAAGGAATCCTTAAATACTCAGGAAAGTACATGTATTGAGGTTTGAGGTAGGTCATTTTAGTTTTCGAGGCTCGGAAAATTCTCCAATATTGTAATCATGTAGACTACTTATAGGGATGTTCTCATTACTATTGTCGTGGAGCTATACTATTGTTGTGGCGCTATTAAGAGCAAAAAATCAGAATTTATTCATTTGGAACATGGTGCATTTAGGTACAGTAAGTACGATAAAATAAGCAAAAATTGTACACCTCTCATCAGAATGGAAACAAAGCATCTAGCGAACCTTGCGTGGAGTTGTTCATTCTGACAATATTTGTCAATCATTAGGTTTATTCATGCGGTACTAACTTACAAGTCTCATACAGCAATGTTTTTTTCAAACTTGTTCCATTCAAAGCATAACAAAATTGCCTTTCTGTTGGTACATTATTCTGTTATACAGAGTCCCTACTTCCAGCGGCATTTTGGTCCCCAGCTGTGAGAAGGGCTTCTAATAGTTTGGTACCAAAACGCTGCTAAAACGAGGGACTCTACAATAAAGCAATGTACCGACAGAAAGTCAATTTTGTTTTGCTTTGAATGGAACGAGTTTGAAGAAAAACAGTGCAGTATGAGACTCACAATCCTTAATTTTCAAACACCTGGTAGGTCAAAAATTCAAATGAACGGTCGAAGTTAGTACCACATGTTATTGTGCAAGCTTCACATGATTTCAACTTTTCAAGCATTCAGTGCTTTGATTTTTAACTTTCGTTTCAGTTGTTTAATGTTTCTTTGTTATAGGTGCTGACAGCAGTTCAGTGTTAACCAGCTACAAACGTTTAGCTCTACAATGGCACCCGGACAAACACCAGAACTCAGAAAAAGCTAAAAAGGTGAGCTAAGAGAACATTCTCATTCTTATGTTATATGAGGAGCAGTTGCAGTCCAGCTTTCAGGGCCAGCTTGATATCAGGGCAGAAGTCTCCTTGCAGAATTAAGATTAGTTTAGAATTATACACACAAACAAGCATTTTTATCAGAACTTCTGGATCGGCCTTTGTATGTACATGTAGTACTAATATTGTAATACATCTTGTAAAAAGTCACTCCACCTTAGTTGGAAACAAACCCACAACCTCCTGATTACATTTCGAGTTCTCTACCACTTGAACTGACTCTCTCACATCAATATCATACATATTAGGCTATATAGCATTGCAGCCATGTCTTACATGCCCAGATTCCCTGCCCAATCATTATGTTTGTTTTCTCAAGTTCTTGTATTTTTGTTTTCAGAAGTTTCGAAAGATAAGTATAGCTTATAAAAGACTAGCATCTGAAGATTTTGACTCAGAGGATGAAAACGACCTGACACTCGTGAGTAACTTGTAACAGTGTAATTACTATTTTTGCAATGTTTTGGTGACATTTTATATGGCAATATTTTTATTTTGTGAATTTAAGCCTTTTTAATTTTACAGTTAATTTTTGCAGATCTTTTGCAGATTTAAAGAAACAAGTAAAGACTTGCACTATAATTGTGAATGTACATATTTGATGCATAAATGCTTGATGTACAAGCGACCTCGATAGTTCTTGGATAGCATTGTGAACGAATATTAACAAAATATTTTCTATGCTCTATTGTTAAATATCTGACAGATGATTGGTTGATTCCCCTATGATCATTATTAGCAAATATATACATGTTTGTTTATTTTTGTTTCCAGGGAGATATGAAGGATTTGTTTGAGGATATATTTTTACAAAAAACAGGTGAGTTAGGAATCTTGTCCCCAAATGTCAATCGTTTGGGAAATGATCTTACCCCGCAATCTCATTAAAATGAAAACTGAAAAAGTTTGTTTATAAAAACACACCTTTTCTAAAAGCTAATTTCCAGATATATCCAATTCCTCTTAGTTCATGGTCCCATGATGATCACAATTTCTGTGCAAATACATTAATCTGATTAGCCAGTTTCAGTCATGTCAATTAAGAGGCAGTAACTGAATATATCATCCTACAAACTATTCTGAAATAATATTGTGTTTTATAAAGGATTTTTTATCTCAACAACTTGTTAGAGAACTTCTTATTTCCATTATTTGATGTTCAATCCGACATTTCTCAGTCTGGACACTTGTTCTAATAGTTGGAAATTGTTTACTCCTTCCATAGGCCTACATATTTAAGAAACCTTGAAATGTGAACACCTTTTATGTGAACACCTTTTAATCTTAACACCTTTGGCTGGTCCCAGTGGTATTCAGATTAGGTTTCACTGTATATTAAATGTGCTATACCACACATGTATTCAAGATATACCATAATAACATGTATTCAAGATAGTGATGATTTTGTTTTAGAAAGTCATAATGGTTATGATGATGTCAGTTCTGATGACTCCGAAGATGAGACGGATTATCTCACCATGTTTGCCAATAAACTAAAAACAAAACAAGATTTTAGAAAAAATAGATCAGGTAATTTAAGCTATGATACGAGAAGTATTGAAATAATATTTGCACAAAAAGTAATGTTTTTTCAGCTACAAAGAATCAATATTAATACTGTAAAGAACTTTAACTACTCACTAAATTGTTGTTATACTAGTAGATAAGATACAAATGTACCGTACGGTAAATGTTTCCCTACTTTAAATTCAATCTTTGCATAGAACATAGTCTTATATTACATAGTCCTGTACAGTACATAGTCCTACATGTTTATGTTCTTAATTTCAGATGAAAATCATCACAACGGCTCCAGGTTAACTGCCGAGGTATGTATGAGTTCCTTCATGTCTAGTTTACACTGTTATGTCAGCATATTGGGAAAAAGATGATGGGGGATCATAGGTACCAAATACCATGAAGAGAGAGAGTAATGGATATCACACATGTTCTCATGCACAAATATTTCCCATTAGTCTTTATGAATCACATTTATTGTATTATTGGAGAATTAAAAAATTGTCATTATAACTTTATTTTGTCACTATCAAAAGTGTAGGTGTCCAGTGTCTGGCATTTGGCATCTGCAACAAATGGCAGGTGGTGACATTTTGCACTTGAATGCCTTGTATTGTAAATGTTTGCCACATTTTAATTTTTCATTACAGGAGATCGAGAAAAATGCTGATGAACTTTTAGCTGAAGAAGAAAAAGAGAAACGAAAAGCAGAAAAACGACGAGCCAAGAAGAAAGTAAGATCCTTCATTGAATCAGAAAATACCTTTTGAAATATTTGCTCTGAATATAGTAGTTTATATCAATGTCTTAATAATTTTGATTGTTCAATCTTTCATGTCTTCGTTGAAATTGGACCAAAGTGCCATCTTTTGAATATTTTAGAGGCGGAGAGAGAAAAAGAGAATAGAAAAATCAGAAGAGACAAAAGGAGAAAACACCAAAAATACTAACCATAAGTCAAAACAAAATGGATTAGATAGGCATAAAGATAAAAAGTAAGTATTATTTCATTGGGACAAAACTTGATCAATTGTCCATGAGAACTCCAGTGGCAAGGGGGAGTCCTAAATTATCTCTTTATTTAACACCTATAAGAAATACAATATATTTCACACCTGTTTTCATAGTTTCATTAGTATTTGATGTCAAGTGTACTGTATATTAATATAATTGAAGATCCAACTTAGTTGGAAAAATATTCCAAAAATATCTGAGTTATAGGGTGAACTATGGCAGGTACTTCCAATTTATCAGAAATTTCCAACTTGAAATTTTAATTGCTAAACACACTGTCTTGGAAAAAATAAAAATGATTGTGTAATTTGTAACACATTCATCATTTTCTTTCAGATCAAAAGGGTCTTCAGATTCTGAAACTGAAGATTTTGATCAAAAGTCAGCATTTTTCAAAGTTGTTAGTAAAAAGAAAAAAGGTACAACTGAAGTGTTACCAGAGATTCAACCCAATGTTACCACTAAGAAAATTAAGGGGAAACCACAACAAAAAGATACAACGGAAGAGGTATAATATACCAGATATGAAATACAAGCTCATTTAAAAAAAATTAATCATGAGATCAGTTCTTAATCATTAAAGAGAATCATTTTAATGATATTTTAAAATGAAGTATCAGTCTATTTTGTGTGAAATATTGTTAATTATCCAAATTGCAGATTTCTTTTGTCTTACATCGAGAAATGCGTATCTTATTAATTGAAAGAGTGAGGTCTTTATTATGAGGTCCATTTCATAAAGGTAACCATGATGATTACCATTTTTTAATTAAAGATCATACTTTTAGAGTTAAATATTGTTAATTATAAGCATACATGTATAGAAAAAGTCAGTTAATCAGTTCTAAATGTTTACTGTTTGCATTTTAGACAGAGGAACTAGATCCATTGGTATTACGTAGTCGACAGTTAGCTATCCGAGGTAATGAAATGGCCAATGAAGGGCACTACCAAATGGCAGCTGACCTGTTCTCAGAGGCTATCAAACTAGATCACTCAGATTATAGGTATGTACATGCAGTTCAGATTATAGATATGTACATGCAGTTCAGATTATAGATATGTACATGTAGTTCATATCATAGGTATGCAGTTCAGATTATAGATATGTACATGCAGTTCAGATTATAGATACATGTACATACATGCAGTTCAGATTATAGGTATGCAGTTCAGATTATAGATATGTACATGCAGTTCAGATTATAGATATGTACATGCAGTTCAGATTATAGGTATGTACATGCAGTTCAGATTAAATATATGTACATGCAGTTCAGATTATACATACGTACATGCAGTTCAGATTATAGATACGTACATGCAGTTCAGATTATAGATATGTACATGCAGTTCAGATTATAGGTATGCAGTTCAGATTATAGATATGTACATGCAGTTCAGATTATAGATATGTACTTGCAGTTCAGATTATAGGTATGCAGTTCAGATTATAGATATGTACATGCAGTTCAGATTATAGATATGTACTTGCAGTTCAGATTATAGATATGTACATGCAGATCAGATTATAGATAAGTACATGCAGTTCAGATTATAGGTATGTACATGCAGTGCAGATTATAGATATGTACATGCAGTTCAGATTATAGATATGTACATGCAGTTCAGATTATAGATAAGTACATGCAGTTCAGATTATAGGTATGTACATGCAGTGCAGATTTTAGATATGTTCATGCAGTTCAGATTATAGATATGTACATGCAGTTCAGATTATAGTTATGTACATGTAGTTCAGATTATAGGTATGTACATGCAGTTCAGATTATAGATACGTACATGCAGTTCAGATTATAGATATGTACATGCAGTTCAGATTATAGATACGTACATGCAGTTCAGATTATAGATGTTTAGATTATAGATACGTACATGCAGTTCAGATTATAGATACGTACATGCAGTTCAGATTATAGATGCGTACATGCAGTTCAGATTATAGATATGTACATGCAGCTCAGATTATAGATACGTACATGCAGTTCAGATTATAGATTAGTGCATGCAGTTCAGATTATAGATATGTACATGCAGTAATTGCAGTTCAGATTATAGATATGTACATGCAGTACAGATTATATTTGTGTACATTAGATTATCAGATTATAGCTGTGTTCATGCAGTTGTATCGTTAATTGATGGAACTCAATGTTTTATTCACTTCTCTTTTTAATGTTTCATGTATATTATGTAGTAAGACTTGTCTCATATTATGATCTGTTTAACAAATATGCTTATATGAAGGGACAATAGCAAATTGTTTTGATGTTTATTTCAGGTTTTATGGTAATAGATCTTACTGTTTTGACCGCCTCTTGCAATATGAAAAAGCACTGAAAGATGCGGACAAAGCTATAGCCTTAGATAGTGATTGGCCAAAAGGTTTCTTCAGGAAAGGAAGAGCTTTAGCGGGTTTAAAAGTAAGTGATTTATGAGCAATACACCTCAGATCTGCTCATTTGATGGGAAGTTACTTGGCATAACAGGCCAACTCAAATATCTATATGATATGCCATTTTTACTACACACAGAAATTGATGTTTGAAACTTCAAGGTAAAAAGTCCCAAAAACTTTTACCGGGTGATAATATTACTATTTTGTCAATATCTAGAAGTTTTAAAAAGAGACGAAGGGTCTAATCTTTAGCTGAAGTACTTTTATAAAGATAAAACTTAGATTGATGATGTTTATGCAGTTATTCTATTTATGGCTATATGCTAATGCTGAGCAGTAGTGGTGCAACTCGAATGCCAGTACTCGCCACTCACTCGTTGAACCTGTCCAAGATAGTTACTCGAGTACGTTTTTTCAAACTCGAGTAGGCATTGAATTCCCAAACAACGATCTCATACCCCGGGAATGATCATTTTTGGATGCACTGAACGAAACAAAGTATCGATTCCGGAAACAAAATGAAAATATTTAAAAACAAACAAACACAAATATGGCATGAATAACTACATTTATTCTCACTAAATTGATACAAACTATATATAACATCAATAACATATAGAAGAAACGAAGAAATTGTATCTATTTGGTCTTCAAACAGTCGACTAGGTGAGTTTTTATTTTTTTAAATTTTTCCCTCATTTTTGCGAGTGGTACTCGATTACAGTGGCATTTTCACACTTTCTACTCGAGTAGCATTTTTCTTGCGAGTTGCACCACTACTGAGCAGGCATTTATGCAGCTGTCATTTTATTTACAGCAATATACTGAGCAAAGCAAGTGTTAACACAGGTGTTATTCCAATTACAGTCACAAACTGAACAAACATTTATGCAGGTGTAATTCTATTTACAGCTATATGCTGATGCTGAGCAGGCATTTATGCAGGTGATCAAACTAGACAGGAACTGTGACGATGCTTTACAAGAACTGCTACGTGTTAGAACACATCAACTTACGGTAAATACTTCAGAACAAATAATATGTTATCATCAATGCACTGTACTGCGGTGGGTTCAGTTATTGGTCAAGTTGTTTCTGGTCTGACTGTGTCCACATCTTCTAAATTATGGGTTAGATCATGATTACTGTAGAAGCAGTTATTATAACGAGGAAGATATTATAGCGAAAAATAGCATCTAGCATCGATCGTTATATTTAATTCCGTGATAATTACATCTAGACCATCACAGGCCAAAAAATATGAAGATGAAAAAATAAAAATAAATTCTCCGATCGTGATTTGAGCTGTTTTTGAATAAAATAGACAGATTATGAAAAACGTCCTTAATGTGATACCCTAAGTCATATTGATATGTTCTTATACCGTTCATATTTATAAAATAAAGCTAAAAGTAAGTTTTTACAACAGTGGTCATTTGAAGTTTTCGCCATATTAGATTTACAAAAAATTTACGAACTATCGTAATTACAAAAAACGAACTCGACCAAAACTTGATAAAGCATTAACATGTAATCGAAACTAATAAACAATCAAGATTTAATAAACATAATTTAATGACTTTCGAAATTCGTGTTTTACTCCAAGCCCTGATGACGCAGACCACTCTAATGGCGAACACTGCGTTCGTTTTTAGGTAAAATCCCAGAATGCACTACGAGTCAACATTACGATTTCGATTAGAATTTTCGATAAATCCTTTTTATTATGCGTGAAATATGATCAATTTGGGCAATTGTACGACAAGATGTCTGGTTTTGAAATGAATTAAGCTATAAGCTATAATTTATTCTCGCGTTTTATGATTTTGGCTATATTTCGTTATAGTTTGTTCCCGCTATAATTTCTGCTTCTACAGTAGTAATGACAGCTTGATTATACCACTGACCTATCTTGGTCACTCATTTAAATTTACCTATCATTGACCTATTTTGGTCACTCACTAAGATTAAACTCCTCGACCCATTCTGGACTCAGGTCAGGTATTTTAATTTATCCGATGCCAAGTAGAGTTTTAGGGAGATAAGTTGGTAAGATATATCCCGTATCCTGATTTTGAGGTTTCCATATCCTGAACCTCCATATCTCCCGCCATATCTCCCGCTTCAGGGCATATCTTCCCGCTTCAAAAAAAATTGAATAAATAAGAAAAAATAGAAAAAAAGAAAAAATGTGAAAAAAATAGAAAAAAATAAAAAAAATAGAAAAAATAGAAAAAAATTAGAAAAATGTGAAAAAATTGAAAAAATAAAAAAGAATTGAAAAAAATCGAAAGAAAATTAGAAAACTCTACTTGGCATAGGATAAAGCAGTTATGTACGGTCGGTTTGGATATTGGGTTCATCCTTCGTGAGATATGCACATCTACCTTCGGTCCCTACGGTCCCTCAGGTAGATATGCATATCTCCCTCTGGAAAAACCCCATATCCAAAACCTCCCAGTACATAACCCTTATATATTCATTCATACATGTAACCCTTCTTGTCCCAATCATGAATTCAAACTTAAATGAAATAACTTCCAATGTACATTTAGAATAAATCTATTTTGCGTGTATGAAATGGTTGTAGCTGAACCTCAAGTTAATAGTTCTAGTAAAATGAACTGTTTTGTATTTCAGGAGATGGGATTCTCAAGACAACAGGCAGAGTCTGCAATACGCCAATACAACACTGTACAACAAGCTTTAGACTCTTTATTAGCAGGAGTTGGTGAGTATAATATGATACTGTACAACAAGTTTAGGGACTGGGCAAAAACAGAGCAGAATTGATTCTGGAACTTCCCTTTGTAATTTGGGTGTTCAGACTTTTTAATATATCAGTGAAAGTTTATTGAAAAAAGGTAGAAATACATTATAAACAGAAATTTATATTGTGTTTAAACAAGTGAACACTACATTCATCAGGCTTTACTAACATATACAGGGTGTCCCACAAGTTATGGTAATTATGCTTGAAAATTTTTATTTGATAAGGAAACAAAGGTATAGCCAAGCTAGGTGCCTTGAAAATATGTGTAGCAAGTGAATGAGGTAATCCAAAATATGAGATATTCATTTTAAGGGTTTCATACAAATGTACCAATTCTACATTTTATCACACCATCTGTGGGATATACTCGTCATGATGCCTGCATGATCGTGATCGTTATTGTGATCGTCCCGATTTTTTGTCATTTGCCATTTCAGGAAAATCGCTCATCAGATTTTCTCCAAATTTGCACACATGATAGAGGATATCACGTTCTTGGGCTGAATACTTTTGGGCGACCATCTTGTTTTCTGGTGGCTATTTTGAAGGTTTTTCGATAAATCTTGTCATCGCCATTTCAGGAAAACCTCTCATAGGATTTTCTTTAAATGCACACACATGAAAGAGGATATTAAGTTCTAGACCCCATTAACTTTTAGGCGGCCATCTCCTTTACTGAAGGCCATTTTGAAGGTTTTTCAATAAATCTTGTCATCGCCATTTCAGGAAAACCTCTAATCAGATTTCTCCAAATTTGATGATAGAGGATATCAAGTTATATGCCTGATTAATTTTTGGGCGGCCATTTTGTTTCCTAGTTTTCTTCAGTTTTACTGGTTCATACACTGTCTGGCTATTTGATGGTGTGATCTCGTTCAAGTCATGTGCCTTGTTGATGGTTGTTAAATGTTTTATTTTTCTATTTTAGTTGCTGAGAGTAACCTAGGGGGAGAGGTGTATGTATCCGATGAGGATGACTACACAATAACACATAGCAACAAACCAACAGTGTCCACGACAACAAACCATATAGCAACCACACAACAATTTACAACAGTATACACACAAAAAACAGAAAAAATACCAGATACAAAAATGGAGTAAGATACTGTTTAGTCTTGTTTAGATAAATATCAATATTTTATAATTTAAACTGAGTAATTAGTCATAAAAAGCAGTAATCTTGTATCATTTCAGTATTTAATAAACATAACTACATACTGTTTTGAATACTTGATTTACACCTATCACTTTCCTTATACTTCGTGTTTCAATCTCAACTTATCTATTCACATTTCTTGGAGCTAATAACGTTTATCACTGTTTTAAGATAAAGTAATTCTTTCATTATATGCTATATATCTCTGTTTTCAGTCCTAAGAATCCAGAAGGTCTCACCGCTTTATGGGTTGGTAATGTGTTACCTGAAGTCAAAGAAAAAAATCTCACACAGTTGTTTTCAAAGTAAGTTGAATAAAAGAAATGAATGTCTTCAAGTTTTCCTGATTATTTTCTTATCCAAACATGTTTGATATTTGTATCAAATTAAAGCTGAGTCGGTATGCCGGGCTCTTCACTGTACTTTTACTTTTTGTGAGTTTTTATTATGAATAGTAATAATAGAATCTAGAACCTTATAAGGCAATACTGTTAGATATTATATTGGTGCCAAAATCCAATTAGGTTTTGGGAATGCTGGGTAAATTCCATGATGGTTAGTTTGCTCTTCGAAGTGTGATATTTATCACTGTGTGTTTTGTTTTGCAGATATGGTACTGTCACTAGTGTACGATGTTTACCAGAAAAGTATTGTGCTTTTATCAATTTTAAAACTAAAGAGGGAGCTGGAAAAGCTATGAATAACTTACAGGTAGGTCTAAGTATAATGAAAGATAATATACATGTTTTAAAGAGAACTTGTACTTCAACTTGTAAACATATGGTCCTCTCGTTAGTTCTCTCCTTGGTAGTATTTACTTGGCTGATTGAGTAAAGAGGTATGAGGCAAATGTCCAGGAAATATCACTTGACAAGGGGACATAATTCCTGGAGTCATACCATTACTGGTTCGCATCCAAGTTTTCTTCAAACATGTAGCTTACGTAACCTCCCAAATCTCCCCTTGTTTCAATGTAAATGTGTCATGACAGATTTACCAAATTCTTCAAGTCCAATAAGGCCCAAACTCATTATATTTTAATTGAACTATAAAAAAGAAACAGAACATAAATAGATCTTTTGAAATGTTGAGATATAATCTTATTCCACTATCAATAAGTTCATCTAATTACATTCTGTACAGTATGATTATATTGTGTATTTTAACTACACATGTAATTCTGAAGTGCTACTTGCACCAAGTGCCACTTGCAAAAGTGCCATTTAAGCGCCACTTTCAAAAAAGTGCCACTTGTGCATAAAATTACATATACTGTAATATAAGGTATTGAATGTCCTTTAGGGCTTTGAATGTGGAGGCCAACGCTTGCTTATCAAGTTTCCCGACAATCCAATAGAGAATGGCGTGCCTGGAACAGTTCCAGGTAGTCTGGTGTTGAAGAAGTCCAACATAACAGCTCCATCCCCTTCACATCAACAGAATCAACAAGCTCCAAAAACGTAAGTTTGTTTGTTTAATTTGTTTGATTTTAATTATGTAACGACTCACCACGATACTGTTATTTATTACGTCTCCTTTTTTGTGGACGGTGTTCGGCATTCAGCAGTTGGCGTCAATTACAAATGGTCGGTGGTAACATTTTGCATGTTAATGCCGTGTTTGTCACAGTGTTTCAAATCGAAGTGTTTTGACTTGGCTATAACAAATATTTTTAGCTTTCCCCTTCTGTCATGGGAGTAAATTTTGCAAATAGGAGACAATTATAAATAGTACTGCCTGGTTAATTCTCTCATGTAATGTTAAAAACAAGTGGTTTGATGAATTATGTTTTGTTCAGTGGGATTTGCATCAGTTACATCGGCTGTTATTGTCTGTAACAAATGGCAGGTGTGTATTTTAATGCCTTGTGTTCTAGCTTGAAGAGTACTCCATAGGTGATTTCATTTATTTGCAGACAAAGCATACCAGGCCTACCAGCTTCTCTAGCCGCAGCTGCAGGAGTACGGAACGAACCTAAGCAGACTGGTCCCGTCAATGGAGATGAGTGCTACTTCTGGCGTACCACGGGTTGTGCTTACGGTGACAAATGCCACTACAAACACAATCCAACTAGTAAAGGAATCGATAAAAAACCATGGCAGAAAGTCAAATAGCTGATTTGGACTCTGTGTAGAGTCCCTACTAAAAATATAGGAAAAATAAAAAATATATGACATTTTTACAAAAATAAAAAATACAGTCAGTGCGTATCGTGTTGAACTGTTACTGAGAAGATGAGTGTGTTATGATGTAGAATGTCGTCATAGTAATGCAGATGATGAGTGTGGTATGGAGTAGAACTTTGTCATAGCAACCTAGCCTCTGTTTATGGATAGTAGACTGGATAGTTCAATTACAAACTAGAGATAATTAATCTTCATCTATTATAAGTTATAGTTAAGTAAAGTCAACGAGTAACTTATTATATTCAGTAGCTTATAACAATACAATACAAGGGAAAAACAAAGGGCAATATAAAACAATTTCGGTTCCTAATTTGATATTTAGAGAATTCATTTTTCTCAAATTAAGCATGTCTAGTTGAAACAAGATATTACAAAGCAATGTGTAACTTGTACTGTACATGTGAATGTATGTGGTAAATTGGTAGGCCATCTGGGTTCAAGTTTTGTTTGTTAGCTTATTTACACTAACCTATGGTTCGAAGCAGCCAGAGTTCATTGTATCATACTATTCAGGTTTTTGTGTTTGTAAATGAATGCTCTAAACAGTGTAATACTATGTTCTATAGAATATTCTGGTAAATATATGCAGGATTTCCCGGGTGAATTTATATGTTAAAATCCCACTACCTTTGGACAATATTGTCAAAATCCTGACCCTCCCTGTATGGGATGGGGGTTCGGTCTAACGTAAAGTTGTACACCTTTGAATGCTGCTTTACTGCTTAAAATGGCAGCCTATATTGTTATTAGAATATGCTCACTGATAGCCTAAATTATTTTTCAGGTTTATATACTGTATTAAATTATGCTCTATTGAAGGGAATTGTAAGGGATAAGAGACTGTAAAATATTGGAAGCAACCTTCAATGTGATTCCAATATGTTTTTCTTTTAATCATTTTATTTTCTGAAAAATGAATTGAGATATCTGTTCAAATATAGATAGAATTAATCGACGATTTAAGATGTGGAAATGTCCAAATGCGTGAGACACTTAAAATTGAAAAATGGGAGATCCCCAGTTTCTATTTTTGCCAGGTTATCTAAAAATCAAAATACATCATGAAGTAGAAAAATGGGAGGTCCCCAGTTTCTATTTTTGCAAGTTTATCTTAAAAATCAAAATACATCATGAAGTTGAAAAATGGGAGATCCTCAGTTTCTAATTTTGCAAGGTTATCTAAAAATCAAAATACAACCATGAAGTAAATCTTTTTTTTTTAAAAAGATAGGTTTGCCATTGAATGATGAGAGCAAAATACTCTCAAATTGTCTTTATCCCTTGTAGTTCCTCTGATATCAGTTGCAGGCCAAATAGAAATATGTAGTTGTGAGAAACATTTGATGAAATGCTGTTCCTACATGTATATGGATGAAATGCTGTTCCTTTATGAATGAAGTGCTGTTCTCATAGAATGTTGTAGTTCAAGAAACAAACCTAGTCATGATTTGGTTCAAATATTATGATTTACATGATAATAATTTATAATCACATGATGATTATGATTAGTCATATTTCATTTATTTACTTTTGGACTTTTGGTACAGATTGTTAAGTTGGGATGATATATAAAATCATCCAACCGTGATCCCGATGCAGGGGTATTAACAATAAAGCATATAAGTTTATAGGTAAAACAATGTTGGTGTTTTTATTCGTTTCTTTTATATGCAATACAGTGTGTTGAATCATCAATGCTGCGTCAGAAGAGAGACTTCTAAAGAGGGGACTGGAAACTTAAACAAGGCATTAAAGGCAGAATCAGATCTATAGGGGTGACAAAATAACAAGCAACATGTATAATTGACCTACCAGTCTATTCCTTACAATCTCATATACAATATCCCCAAAAAGATTCATGATATCTTATGAATTGGTGAAGTTATAATGGAATCAAAGTGCAAAATTGGGTGAAAATGTTTAAATTCTCCCAAATAATAAGAATGGTAACCATTCTTTTAGAAAAATAATACATTATTGTAAAAATCTTTAGTTTTCCTGAAATAAAGTGTGCACTTTGGGGATTTTTAGAAAATAGACATGAAAAGGAATGACATAAACCAGATATATTCTAAAATTGAAACAATTTTTTGTTAGGCTGCTTGCTAGATCTGATTCTCTCTTTAACATTCAAAATGCCACCACTTGTCATTTGTTGCAGGTGCCAACAGCCGAATACCATCCACAAAAAGATGGAGACCACTTCTGGTGGTGACATAAAAGTTAAAAACTGATCTATGTCAAACTTTTGTTGAGTCCAAGTTTGTCAATGGGATGTTGGTGGCCTTTTAACTAAAACCATTATGGTGAAGATTCAAATAGCAACTTGATTTTGTAAATTCACGGTATTGCCAAGCTACAAAAAATCGGTGAGACTGACTTGAAGGAGAAATAAGATATTTTTCATTTTTGGGGGCAAGATAACATGGACCTCAGATAACACAAATACATTTCATATTTGACCTTTCAAATGACCTTGTCTGGCCTGATATATGTGTGGCAAAATTAAATGATTTCTCTCACCTGACAATAGTAGTTTCTAAATTCCCGCGGTTTTAGTTCTTCACATGCCTGACAGAATGTGCTGGCAGCATCTTGGGCCACAATTCAATATGGCTGTGTGGTGCCATTGAAATAAATGGAGAAATAAAATTCGTCTCACAAAATCATGAGTATTACTTATGCATCTATATGTATCTGTACAATATTACACAATTTTATATTGCAAATGACATTTCCAAATCAACCAGAAAAGACATAAACATTTCTCACAAATGTTTATTTCATCATTCAACATACAAGAAAAAAACAGCATTTAAAAATTTTACTAACAAATTAAGATTATTGTGTTATTGACTAAAACAATTTTTGATTCCTATTAACCAAGTAATAACTGTAATTCAATCATAGCTAAATATTCTTGACCAATCAGATTGCTTGTTTACTGCTCATTATTGAACAACAATGAACAATTCTTGTTGAATAACTGCACTACTAGTATTCAAATCTGTTATAAAAAAAGTATCACATCAAGAGGCACTTTGCATTGTTAAGAATAAATATCATGGGATGACATCACCGAATTTGGTCAATGTGAGGTCTCCGAGCAGGTCCTTTTTACAAAAAATTTCAAGATTTTCACACACAAGCAGAAGCATTGCATATGCTGGTTGATTTTCTCTGCGAATAAGCAGTTATTCAGTTAAAGCATGTATTGTGTGAAAATCTTTGTCAAACGGCCTGCTCTAAGCAGGAAAAACACTACTCACTTAGAAAACATCATTTGAGGTAACTTCAGAGATTGGTAATGGCATGTGCACTTTTTGATTGAAAACTTTTGATTGAAAAGGTGGCATATATACATGTAGTTGACACTTTACTCAAAATTGAATGAATCATATGATACAAATAGCTTCGCCATCTTTTGTAGACAATGTCATTGATAAAAACTTTACATAAACATTGAAGTAGGTCTTTATTTTCCCAAATAATTATAATATAAGATATAGAGAATTTCTAAAAGATAAATCAGTAAGTGTTATGATTGGTTGAATGTTAGTACAATGTGTACCCTTGAATATTTGAATTGAATCATTTACCATCTTAACTCTTAAGACATTATTAACATAACAAAATGTCATCACTAGTTATGGGAAGTTGTAAAAATTTGTTGCAGAATCCGATCACCACCGCCAAACCTTCCACAAAACAGTTGGATACTATTACAATATGTCAACACTTCTGATGGTGACGTCAATACTGTAATGTTGATAAATAATAACTTGAAGTGAAGTAATTTTTTGATGATTCATATTTAATTGTTTAATTGTGTTCACACTACAAATGATTATATATAATTATCAGCTCACGTTACTGTACATGTACATTCAGACTGAAAGAAATTTCATCATCAGGCCAATTTGTCCAAAGAGTAAATTAATCAAGTTTCAATAAACCATGATTGTATTTAGAAAAAAAATTGATTGTTCTGATTTCAAAATTGCTAAAATGTCCAACAATTAGCATGTACATGTAAATTCCTTCTAGCAGTTCCAGTTCTCTCCCCTGCATTTGATCAATCAGATACTCCACCTTGTTGACAACCTAAATTACATGCCACCCTGTTGAATATTTTTGAGCCAAAAGATGACTTGTGTAAATTTTTCTACCAAAACAGGTAAATAAAATTTAGCACCCTGTTCAGAACAACATCTGGGAGAACACCGAGTATACAGACCGTTCCAATTAACCATGCCACCTTTTGGCAGATCAATAAAGCTATCATATCTTCGCTAGATTGATGATGTCATAGATTGTAGGTAGCAATCTGTCCAAGCAAAAATAGGCTTAGAAAAATAGAACTTATACTGATTATTTTGAAAAAGTACAACCAATGGCTGAAAGGGATCATCAATCTACCCAATATATCCATAGCTTCCTTGATGTACCAAGAGGTGGCACAGGGTTTATTGGAAAGTTCTATTGGTTCAAAATTTTTTTCAAAGATGTTTACTTGGGGGTAGCCTCACTGTGTGTAACCTGTTTGATCCGATCCATGAGATATTGATTCTTCGTCACCATAGCAATCATTAATACCAGCTCCATTGTAACCATTACTATGGTAACTAGTGTCAGCCGTCCAGTCATATGCACCATTATTCCATTGATTGGCACCATATTGGAAATTCCAGCCTTGATGTTCATAATGCTGATTCATGGTGTAACCACCGCCATACCTACTATTTCCCCCATCATAATACCCGTCATACCCATAACCATTATGCCTCTTAGTCCGCCAATTTCTATCATCATTACTTCTATCATTACACTGGTCTCTAATTGGTTCTCTGGGTCTTAAATTATCCTCGTCTCTAAAATTGTCTCTTGGGTTTCTAAAATCATCACTGCGATTTCTAAAATTGTGCCTATGATTTCTATAATCATCCCTGTCATTTCTAAAATTGTCTCTAGGGTTTCTAAAATTATCCCTGTGGTTTCTAAAATTATCCCTGTCATTTCTAAAATTATCCCTGTGGTTTCTATAATCCCTACTGTTTCTCTCCCAGGGTCTGTTTTGATCAGATGTTTGCTCTTCTGTGTCCTCCCCACCACTTATATCCCTACAAGCAAAGACAATTATAATATACATCTTATAACAACAGTGGTTACACAACAAAGCCCACATTGAAGAATTTTGTAACTAAATATAACAAGGCATTAACATGCAAAATGTCACCACCTGCCATTTGTTACAGAAATAAAATGCCGACTGCTGAACTGACCAACCAGTGAAAAGCAACTGCAAAATGCCAAACACTGTCCACAAAAAAATTGAAGACCATAACAATACGTCATCAGTAGTGGCAGTGACATAATAAAAAATACCTTTCTTGAAATTTATTCAATTATGACCAATCATGAGATTTTCATACCAACAATCAAGAAAATGACATGCCATTGTTGCCTTCCAACAAGCAGATGAAAAAATTGTTCCATTTTCAGCCTGGTAAAAACATGTCATTAATGCCTTGATCACATTTGCTCCGATCCATCAGGCGGTGCCCGGCCGATTGAGTGTTTTGTTCAATATCGTTTTCAATTTTGAACAAAATACTCAATCGCTGGGCACCATAGTGAAAATCGGAGCAAATGTGACCAAGGCATTAGTGTAAACAAGTGTTTGATGTCAGATTGCCAATTTATTTATTTAACTTATTTACAAGTTTATTTAACTTATTTACGGAAGAATATGTGAATGTACTTTAGATAACTATCTCACAAAATGACTTTTTCAAATTATCCACTTCATTCATGAAAGATGTTTCTTACTCTAAACTTAATAAACTTACTTGATCCCCATTTTCAAGTCCTCTAAGTAGTTCTCTCTTTCTAAGTCATGGCCCCTGGCCTTGTTAAATGCTGAAATAATAAACAGACATGAGGTGAGTAAAATATCTCCAAGTCTAAGATGTAGCCCCTGGTCTTGTTGAAAGTTACATTAATAAGCAGAGATACAGTAAAACCTGTCTAAATGGAACAACTTTGTGTTCCACTTGGGAGGTGTTCCACTTAAAGAGGTACATTTAACGTAAAGTCAGTTGGTCTTTGGATTCTGAAGTGTTCCACTAACAGAGGTATTCCACTTTAAGAGGTGTTCCATTTTACAATTTTCGTTGTATAAGATTACTAAAATAAAGTTGCCCTTTTAAAGCTACATACATATGTAGTTACATTAAAGCATAAATAAGTGAAACAAGAATTAAACTGTTCTAAATAAAAAGACATGCACAGGGTCGTCACTTTTTCAGTTTTTAATGAGCTATGGGCTTTGAAACTTGTAACCCATAATTTTACATGCTAAAAATATGCCAAAAGCAGCAGGTTAACCTCATATCTTGCAAAATGGCAGACCTAGTGTCAATACTTAAGTAATAAACTCTCTAAGATTAACACAACAACTCACTTACCCTCTATAGCCTGGGCAGGTTCGAACTTCATCTTATTAATCATGTACCTGCAATTGCAAAATCATTCAATGAATCTATTTAGATGGGAGACTATAAGAAATTTAGTAAATAATATGTGGTATATTAAATAAGAAGAACAATAAAACCCATAAAGGACCTCTGCATCCCATTTATGAAATAGCTAAGCAAAGTCATATCAAAAAGACATTTAGTGTGTTTATTTAATTTTGCAAAACAGGGAATCTACAGCCTACTGTAAAATACAAAATTCACACATTTCTAGGGTGCAAAAGAACAGTATGGTATATTGAGAACCTAGCACTGTACCTGCATATTAAATAGCCTGTTCTGTTTACTCCATGTGTACAATGCACTGCTATTAAACTGTCTGGAACACAATGAAATACATGGATTAAAAGCAAAGACCAAGAATCTTTGGTTCATGATACAACTACATAAGTGAAACCTCTCTAAGTGGCACATCTTTGATACCTCTAAAAGGTGTTCCACTTGGGTGGTGTTCCACTTTTAGGGGCTAATTTAACATTAAGTCAGTTAGTCTTGTGACTCTGGAAAGCATTCTTCTAACAGAGGTGTTCCACTTCTGGAGGTGTTCCACTTTACAGGTTTAACTGTATGACCAATGATTTTTGCTGATAAATGTTAGGGACTGAAATCGAATGTCACATAATATTTGCACATTTGGATATCCATTTTTATAAAGTTGCATTTTTGTAATTTCCAAAACTTGAAAGTAGTAAATTCTTGTTTGTACATTATGATTTAAGTCTGATTGACAAACATTCAACACAAAGATAAAATAGACCAGTTTTGAATCTTACCATTTTCTTTATATTTTTCTAAAAAATCATCCACGACTTTGAAGAATTTTCGTATAACTGAATTTTTGGGTATTTCATGACCTGCAGTGTTAATCTTTGAGTGTTCAATAGTATGATTCTCTGCCTGCTCATCTCTGATTGTGAACTCCTGAAAATTATATATAAAATGAATATATATATTTTATTTCACAACAGCAGTGGAGATGGCACTAAGGGTAAATATGACATATGTTTTATTTTTGATTTTAGATTTACAAAATATATTTAGACTAAACCTGTAAAACTGTTACTACTATTTTATAAATACATTTTTTATGTAATATTAATTGAATGACTTTTTACAAGGATGTGATATAGAGGTACAAGAAAGTTTTCCTAAAGTCATTATTCTTTATCATTTTAAAATGTTTTTACCTTACACTAGTGATACATAATGAAAGATGCCTGTTTCTGAGTACAAGTAAGTCAAAGGATAAACTAGAAAGTATCCTATGTAAGCTAAAGAGTTATCCAAAGGAAAGCATGATGTATCTGATTTTGCACAGGAAGTTGTGAGAGCACATATCCTGTTCATTCTACATTCATACATTATTCATAATGTGGTAATCAGATACATTATATCTGGATAAGTACGAGGAGGTGAATATAAGAGGGAGGGGGTGACTTCCTCCCTATGGCTATGAGCTAAGATGGAAAGCTATATCCTTTAAAATTTCTTTAAAATTCGCCAATATCGCAGTTGTTTGAGCATTTATTTGTGGTTATTTACCATCGTAGCTTTATTAATTTACATGGTGAAACATTTGGAATCCAGATTCAACTTAGTTTAGCTGAAATCGGAGGTTTATCGAAAACGAAAGAATTTCGGCAACCATCTTGAATGAAGCTAACTGCAGTTAGAGTCATCCAGCTGTGGAACAGTGCTATTGTTAGTTTTTTTTACAAAACCTGTTTAATATATCATAATCCAAAAAAATTCCAAGTATGGGATAAACATGATTTAATCATCTCACCTGAGGTTTATAGTATCTGCTAGTGTTTGTCAGGTCTATGACGAGTCCCAATCTTTCACCACGTTCTTCAATACACTGAACAAGATCCTTGGGACCAAACCTGAAAAGGATTAATAAGACATAGATGAAGAAACAAGGGTAGCACAAAAAGCCATGGGAGATTTATGGGATCAGTCAATCCTTATACAGATAAGACACAATTCTATGTTGAAAGATGCCCTGATGTTTAAGACAGAATCAGACCTGCAAAGAGCAACCTTTCCAAAATGTGTTTCAATTCTAGAATATTTAACTCCTAGTCACTCAGATGCACTATTAGCAATGTAAAAAGTTTACAAACTCAGACTTTTGTATATTTTTTGTCATATACTTGATGAAATAAATGCCCCCCACCAAAATAAATCTGGACGAGATCACTATGACGTACAGTTATATGCACAAGAGTGCATTTTCTTAAGCTGAATTCATGATTCTATTGTTCTCTAACTATACTGACGTCAACATTTTCATGGTTACAACAATAAGTTTTAATGCTCTGACCTGTGAATCAAGGCACCCCAGAATAATTATATTATATTGCAACACGAAGTGTGAAAATGAATCATAAGATTACCTTTCTTCCTCTTCAACCTTGTTACAAATATTCTGAAAGTAAATGAATATTGCATTTTACATTGTGTTCTGGTATATAATGTGAATATTTTTTTGTATAATGATATAAAAGTATAATTTAATATTGTAATTTCCAATAATGTAATATTATGTTGTGTTGTAAAGTTTCATAATTTTTATACAAGTTGATATGTCTGATGCCTCAGTCTACAGACACTATATATATAGTATAACATACGATAATATGTAGTTTAACCACATCTATATGTACTTTTGCCACATCTATATGTAATACCACATCAATATATACTACATGTCGAGAGCAACCAGGTGTACCACCTGTCAAAATATTGAAATATTGAGATATTTAAAAAATAAGATTCAGAATAGGACTCCAAGGGAGATGACTACTTGAGATATTATTCTAGAATTTACCTTTTCTAGGGGAACTTTGCAGGCCAGTATTCTTGTTCCAGGGATCCTCTTACCAACTCTGGAGTATGGCAGCCATCTGGATAAAAAATTAATATGAACATAGTATTTTGCTACAGAATTCAGACAATTTTGCAATATCATGATGTAGCTTTGTCAAAAAAATGATTGGGGTGCACTTAAAAAAATTAAATTGAAATTAGCATAAATTAAAATTGAAATGAATTAAGAAATGTCATGACAACAGTATTCTAACAAAATATTTTGATTTTAAACTATCATTTTACCAAAATATGTGATTAAATATCTAAAATGGCCAAAATCACTTAAAAAGTGCTCAGAATGGTGAAAAACTGCATGATTTTGAAAGATTTTTTAGGCAGGGGGGGTTTCAAACTGGCTGGAACCCATCGACCCCCCCCCCCCCTGGCTACGGGCCTGCACTAAAAAAATAGCTTACTTCAATGAACTCAGCGTACTATTGCTTTTTAACTACATTGACCGATGTTCTCCAGGGAGAGTTTTACTCCATTGAATGAATTAACACAAGTTTTAGCTTACAAGTGAAACATCAATTTTTCTTAAAGTATACTTCATAAGTTTTGCTTAAAACTCTGTTACCATGATAACTAGTGTAAAGCCCCATGGGAGTGGAGAAAAAAGTCGAAAGAATGTTGACACCAATCCATGCTAAAATGGATAGAATTCTATCTAGCGAAGGTCTAAGCACTGGTAGTATAACTGACCGAAATGAATCCCATCCCCCACTCTGTATAAGGCCTACCAAGAAGAGTGCAGTGGGGATTTTGGTCAATTCATTTCTACTACCTTGCTGGAGACTCTCTGCTCTCCAGCCAAATTACTTGGCTAGAAGTGATTTCATTTGGAGCACCATGCACTAATAAAAAAGTTTGTCCTGGAGAAAAAGGAATTTAAATGCTATTTCAAAAATCGTATTTGAGAATATTTGATCTATTAGGACTGAAATGAATATCCTTTGTGAGATATTGGATGCTTTCGTCTACACTTAAAAATAACATTTTGGTAAAAAATTGCTATACCTGCATTTGGTATTTTCTGGTACAAAATTAAGTATGAAAGCATGTGTATATTTCTTTGCTTTTTTCAGGAAAGTTTCATTACATTGTCTCCTTTTAGTAAACCTTGAAACAGATCAATGGTAGCTCCTGTGTTGTCTGGAAACTTTGAAAGAAAATTTGGGAAAATAGAAAGTGTGAAATATCTGAATTTCCTGGAGTTCCCATTGACCTCTTACCAGATATACTAACAGAAGACAATGTAATGATACTTTCCAGAAAAAAGCAAGGAAATTAACACATGTCTTAATTCTTTATAGTGTACAAGAAAATAATGTGTGTAGGTATATCCAGCTGCACCTTAAAATCATTGGTCTGCAATTTTTAAAACAACTGTTGAATTGAACTTTTCTCGCTATAGCGAATAACATGAATGAAAACATTAAGTGTGAGGGAATGGATTTTTCCTTTCAGGATGACACTAAATTCTCTTCCGATTACCTTTCAGAAAAAGTCATGGATGATGATAGGTTTATTGTTGATATGATCATTCATTAGATATCTAGATCTATTGTATGACTATGAATTAGGGGTGAAACAAATACTCGAGTATTCGGTTGCAAATAGGTCTGGGGTGATATTCGAATGGCATTTTGTGGTATTCGAATATTAAACGATTGACTGCACATGCGTACCGATTTAGTCTCCCGCCAAGACAAACCCAATTCTAAGGCAATCCCGATATAGATTACATGGTTACTCACCTAAGAGTAAGCAGCTCTTACTTGTAACCTCTGAGCACTGCTGATTAATCCAGTGGCATCCATAAGAGTAAAATACTTGAATATAAAGTTAAGAACATTCGTTTGTACGAGAGGCAATGTGCGCCAGGTTCGTTTTTAGGTTCGGTTTTTAGCGCATGCGCTTGGAATAAGTATTTATAATCATTCATAACACAACCGTTGCATTGTCTTATCGTCTACAACTTCACTATTAATTGTGAATTCGAATACAATAAAAAAAGTTCTACACTAATAGTCGGCAATCGTTTCTTTACGTAATTACGCATGGTATGTGTTTTAGAACCATAGTATATTTGGTGTTTCCCGATCACGTATAAAATAAGTTCAGAATTTAATGTTAATAACATAATACGTCAAAGCAGGTCCGTGAGACAGTGACCAGGCGACTATTCATCAGCCAGCATTCTATTCGTATGGCGTATTTACTTCACATGCTCTTAGAAATCAAACAACTTATATTTACTTCCGGGTTTTTAACGAATATTCGGGGCCGAACGGGGATTTGCTGGCCGAATATTCGGTATGAGAATTTACTATTCGATTCAGCCCTATGAATGATCATGCCATTCATGGTCAATGAATGATCATGATGATCTGATCTCACGAATAATAATCAGATATTCAAAGTGAGACATATGATCGTAAAAGAACGACACTTACCTATCTGGAACCTTCCCTGGCATATTAACAATTTTCGGAAGCTTCAAAATCAAGTTCTAAATGGTATCTAACGCTCTAAAATTAAAAAAATTGAGATGTTTTTCTTAGGTAATCGTGGACCGGAAGTCAGTTCTATTTCAAATCTCAGTTCGTTCAGTGCGTTCACACCTGCACAATTGCACTAAATGAAATTGCTTTAGGATGGGTTTCATTTCACTTTCTTTTCCAGCATCAATGAGTATCACAAAATATAATTTATTGTCAAAATGTATCTGGTTCAAATATGTTAGTGTACAATCCTAAAAGTACACTACCCTCATACTGTTGTAAACTCCTCATCCTGTGTTGCACATAATGTTGCAAGCATTGACAAGAACTTTCAGAACATGTATCTAAGATTCTTTTCTTCATCATAGCATGTGTATATTTTCATTCAACATGTTTGGTTTACTTTATCTTGGTTTAACAAATGGCTTCTTTTTTATGTTGTGTCTTGGGGTGATCCATGTGGATGAATGGAACTTGTGTCACAACCAAGAACATAAATGTGCTATTGATTTTATAATTTTAACGTTTCCAAGTAGTCTATTCATTAAAACAGTGTTCAATGTTAATCTGATAAAGGGTTGGGTTGTGTTTGATCACTCCTGGAGAGAACTGAAAAATATAATGCAGAATCATCTAGTTGAAAGCCCATGGATTATGTTAATGCTCCTTTGGATCTTTACCCAATCCACTTCATTAAACAAAAAAACGGGCAAAAAACAACACTCTCCATAATATCTTAGTTGTTATATTTGTATTATTTATTTGATAATTAATTCAATATACAAGCACACTACCTTGCATGCATAAATATTAGTTTGAACCATATGCTCTTTCTGGATGATCTACAGTAGACCCCAGTGGTACACCCCAAAAATCAATTAGGATTGAGAAAAGCTAGCATTTAGCATCAACATGCAGCTTGTATCTAACTAGGATTATCTACATCTAAGTCTTCAAAATCCAGCATTTTTCAGTTTTTTATAAAAATGTTTATCACAATCAAACCATAAATTACATCATGATTGTGCTTTTTATTATTTTGTTTTACATAATTATCTGTATATACAAGTAGTTAATTATTTTGTTCCATTATATTAATCTTTGAGAGTAACTAGACAGCCATTTTCAACAATTTCTATTGCTTGACTACTGATTTGGCAACTAAACACAACATAAGTGAAATCTGTGTAAGGAAACACAATTGACTGTAACATGGATATATTGTCATAGCAACAAGCAACACTTTTCACCTTCAAATAAACGCCATCCTCCCGACAGAGGGCAACTGAACTCATTTATCCTTCCTAGAGAATGAAGATATTCTGGTTCTTGGACCCCTGCTGTTGGAGGATGATAAATTCTTACAAACATTCCATATCTTGAAACCTAAACAATTTCACTATTTACAAAATTACTTGACAAACCATACCTTTATTAACATGTTCACATTTCAAAAAATACCTCATACCTCCCCAAAAGGGGAATTTTAGACTTATGAGTCATTTTAAGTTAAAGAATCAATTTAATGACTCAGATAACCTTTAACTAGTGTTCTGATTTGTCACCAGATAACTCATGCTTTAAATGACGTACCATATTCTGATAATTACTGATAAATGGATATTTAATACAGATTGAGATAAGTATTTCATGTATCGTGAACATTGTCATGTAATTGTATAATTACATCTTTAACCTGTGACTGGGCAACTGGACAGGTCAAGGCTTAGTGTGGTATATTGTCTTATTTTTTAGCTTAGTGTGGTATATTGTCTTATTTTTACAATATTCCGTGTTATTACATTGCACTAAGAAGCAGTTGCAACTTACAATCCACTTGAAAGAGTAAGTGTGACCTTTTCCTTAAAAGTGAAACTTTTGTCCCATCGACTTCCTCTTGTAGCCTCTTTAATACATGCAATACATTTGCTAGGTATTCTTTGGATGTATAGTAGAGTATAAGCTTATAAACCATTTGAAGCAATATCAAATATATACTATATGACCTGACCTACTGACCCTATACTAGTAATGTGTAAAATAAAATGTGTGGATATAATTCTCATAGGCCTACTCCATTGATATAACACTGTATGACAAACATGATCATGTTAATTTCATATTGTCCATGGATATCTCAAGTGACGGCATTCACTCAACAAATCTCAGTACATACACCATGTCCAAGTTAGTAATCTTATGTGGATTTGAGCAAGTAAATATGGATGTGTTTTGGTATTAAGAAACATTTCCAATCAACGGAAAGTTCAATTTGACGATAACACTCAACACACTGATTAATATACTGTAAAACATGTCATTTTTGCAGAATATTAAGTTATTAGAAAATGACCAATTAGCCACATCGACAAATTAGTTATTCAACTATGGATGTCAGTTTGAGGAACCATCAATTCAAGATGATATTTGAATATACTGTAAAATGAAACAGTGAATCGGGAGTGAATCACACATGTTTTACAGTATTCCTGTGTCTTATTTTGACTTTAAGTCGTATCTTGCCCAAGCACCATTCAATCACGTGAATGTTTCAATTAAATCATTGGTGTACAGAGCCCTCTAGTGATGTGTTATCTTCCACTTCCTAATACAACTATCCTGACCCACAGAGATGAGGGTGTTACCATCCAACCATGCCACCCTGGTGATTTGATTCTGGGGGTGAGCTCCTGGAATGACACAAAGTACAAAATATTATTATTTTGGCTAAGGTAATGCCACTCATGGGCTATTAGGTCAAGATCATTATTTTAATGAAGGGCAGACTTTCTTCAAGCACCTGACAGTGAAATAGCATCATTATGTCATGATTTTTATTTTATGTGAAACCGTTATTTAATGCAGCAGCCAAACACATATTCTCCAAGTATCAAAGTACTAAGTCGCAAAATACACTTTTAAAACCCATATTCAGATTAAGCCAGAGTAAAAGCCTACCTCTGATAGTAATGTGCTTGTTCAGTTGTTCAGTATTCCAGATTTCTAGATTTGTATCAAGTGATCCACTGCCAAGCTTGGTGCCATCTGGTGTCCATGCTATAGTGTTCACCTTGGCCGTGTGGTAGCCCCACATTGTAGGCTTGCTCTAGATAGTAATAAATCAAAGAAATTATTACACTGCATTTTACTCAATACAATGGGAATTTCAATGAATAAAGAAGGTGAGTACAGAAAATCCAAGATCTTGGTGTTAAAAACTTTTCAAGGAGTGGCTGAAGTATTTTTTATTGGATGTTTATAACATGACTTTGACATAACAAAAATGTACTGGATTTATACCCAACCAATGTTATGTATTGTGGGAGGGATTTTTTAAATTGAGAGTAACTTTTAATTTGGAATATTGTATAAATATAATCATACTACACTTACTTTATAACCTGGCATTTCAAAGAGCGAAACTTTCCTATTGCTATCTGCAGATGCGAGGTATTGACCATTTGGAGAAAATTTGAGGTCCTGTACACTACCTGTCATCGCTATAGTTTGGGTCTCAGAGAGCGTGTCACCATTCAGACTGTACACATGGATGTTCTGGTCCTAAAAGTGTTTAACATAGTTAAATTCCTTAGTAGGTGATTTCTCTGAATTTTAACTGCTAATTGGAAAATGAATTCCTATATACATAATAATAGGAAAAGTTCAGCTTTTTTCGATGAAGCAAAAAAGAATTATACATGTTTCATTTGGATACAATTACAATCAAAAACAATTATGTCTAGTTCTATATGAGTGTAGCAACTAGCAATGTAATCATTTTGATTGCAATTTTCACTTCAAGACAAATGACATTCATTATCTGTTGCCATAGTGTTTCTATCAAAATCCCCTGATTTTTCCCAGACTTTTTCCTGATTCAAGTGTGAAATTCCTTGACAGAATGCATTACTTAATTAACGAAAAATTCAAAATATTGGGGATTCATGAACTGCATGTATAAATTTGAGTAGTCTTCCCTTAGATTTTTTCATATCATGTATCTTGTGTTCAATTTTCAACGATAGAAAATTTCATGTCAATTAAAATTCTCTGACATTTTTCAGAATTAAAAAATTCCTTGATTATTTTAATCCTTTTTTGTGGTAAAACTGAACTTTCATTATTTTTTCAGGTCAGGAATTTTTTCCTGATTTTCCCCTGACCCAGGTTATATGTGTTTCCATAAAAATGGTAGAGTTTGTTAATATTGTAACTTACAAATGCTCCTCCAGCAACAACTTCTGTCAGTCCAGGATTAATGGCTACACAAAGAGGTTCAAAATCGACCTTTAAACTGAACACCTTGTTCCCATTCCTCAAGACGGACATCTACAATTAGAATACAGAGATGTGATATAAACAAGGTTATCTACTGGGAGGGATTAAATTTGACATTCATTTCAAAAGTCACTCAGTAGGATATTTCCAGGGGGATTGAAGCAGGGATGTAAAACAGTAATTAGCAAGTTCATTTGTGATAAAAGATTACAAAAGATATATCTGGATTTTCTGTTTCCAAATTATTGTATGAGAACATTACAAAACACCAAGTCCAAGTTGCAATAACAAAAGTGTAGATTGTTCAAAACGCTGACACCGTATGTCAACCCTACTTGGAGTTGACATAAAAATCTTATTCTTTATTCCAGATGATTAAGACAGCAATGCAAGTTTATTTTTTGAAAAAATTACATATAACACATTTCCTTATAATTTTGCATATGTACAATATATTTTCTTAATTTTTCATGCTTAAAATGTGAAATACATAGTCAGAGTATTCAAGAGTTAAATAAAAAAGTTAAGTAAAGTTTCTCTAAGTAAAATCAATTTTCATCCATGTTTTTGAGTTCTTTGTAGACCTGGAGTCTTCATGATTTATCAAAAATGTTACAGAATTGACAGTTTGACATACATCATGCACATTAAATTTAAGCCTATTTAATTGATTCCTTGCTATTTCCACTCGTTTTCAAAATTTAAAACATGATTGCTAGAAAATACACAATGTGAATGTACTTACATGGTTCACACATGCCACCACAGACAAACCTCCAGAGGCAACTGACACTTTCCTTGGTTGAGACTCCAAACTTGAGGAATTTGAACTGGAAACACAAAAAATAAATATGGGTTTATAAATAATCAGATTTTAGATACATAAGACATATGTGATTTACAGAGAGGATCTGAATTTGAAATTGACCAATTGGAGAAATTTCTCAGGGAGTAGCCAGTTCCACTATATAAAAGTGGCATTCATTTGGAATTGAGCAGGCATTAGAAACTCCTTCTAGAACAGATGTTCTATTCCCATTAGACATTAGCCTAAATCTGGACCAAATTTGAATAATAACTTCTATTGAATTTGCTATTTAAGTTATCAAAAATTACATGAAAATGTTTTTGTGCAAAACAATGGCCATTTCAAATTCAGTAGCCATTTTGAAAATTCTTTCTTAAGCAGAGATCCTATGTCTCTAAGGTATCAACATATAAAACATGAACCAAATTCATTACCACCATTGGAGTAACCAAATAATGGCAAAGACAAACAACCTATCTGCTCCATTAATTTACATATTTTACATAGATGTGAGTTTTTCACATGGATGTGAGTATTTTTCATAGATGTGAGTTTTTCACATGGATGTCAGTATTTTAATTGTATGTGTAATTGTATATCATTTGATAAGAAAGCTGTAAAGAAAAATGCCTTACACCATGAACTTCAGACATATGTGTTAAGAATGTGTTAAGAATTACTTGTATTCTCCAGAAGTGACTGGTGTCATTCGTATTGTGTCATCCATAGAAACAGACGTGATGACATCATCTTGAATCTGCAAATCCTGAATCTGGTTATTGTGTCCCTTTCCCTTCATTTCCTCACACTGACCATTGTTTATGTTCCACTTAAGGATTTGACCATCAGAGGCCCCAGTGAATGCAACACTGTGGTCTTCTGTAAGAGCAAGGGCTGTGATTGGTTTACTGTGGCCCTGAAATTTATAAAGATCATTATATTAATTCACAAAAATTGCATGATTATGAGCATTCTTCATGTTTACTACCTGGTTATATTATACATATCATGTATGTTAGTATTTTACATTAATGTTTCACATGGATGTATTTTATATAGATGTGAGTTTTTCACACGGATGTGAGTATTTAACATTATTGTTTCACATGGATGTATTTTACATAGATGTGAGTTTTTCACATGGATGTATTTTATATAGATGTGAGTTTTTCACATGGATGTCAGTATTTTAATTGTATGTAAGTATTTTAAAGGGATTCCAATTTTTACATGGTTGTGATTATTTTACATGGTGGATGTATTTTACAGGAATGTGAGTATTTCACATGGACACAAGTTTTTCCTTGGTTGTATTTCACAGGGCTGCATCTACACAGTTAAACGTTTTTTACAGTATTGAGTTTGTGCAGCTGTGAGTAGTTTCCAATTTAAATTTGCATATTCCCCATTCATTGGTTCTTTGGCTTACAGATTTCAAGGAATACACTCTGATTGAATCATAGACAGTTAATCAGTACACCTTGACAAAATGAAATATTTCTATAAGTGAAACACCTTCCAAGTGGAACATATTAAGAGGTACCAAAGGATTTTCACTTACACAGGTTTTACTGTATTAAATATTTTTCGTATGAGTATGTTACAAACCTTGACAATCCTGGAGGGTTGAGATGGATTATTCCTATCAAGGTAGTTAATGTGTCCAGACAGAGATACGGAGATGAGGTAGTCGCCCTGCCACAGACATCCCACCTGCATATCTTCTATCCTAGTGCCCATAGGGAATTCCCTGCAATAGAATATACATGTACATTGAAACCAGTGTTCGGCAAAAGGGGAAAATATCAGGTGGTCCAACGGACCATTGGTTTGCAAAAAGTTGGTGGTCCATCCTAAGTGTAGGGATTCAAGTGGACACCCTGTTTTCAAAAGTTTGTGGTCCATATTATAACACATCTCTAATCCAAACATCTCTAAATGTGAACACTTTTCTCCGTCCCAATTTGTTATCTTTCATTGACTTATTTAAAATCTTGAAATGAGAACAACTGCTGATCCGAACACTTGGCCAGTCCAAAATGTGTTAGGATTAGACACGTTTCACTGTGATGCGAGATTAACGCAAGGCAATAAAATGTAACTTAAATAAAAACTCAAATTTCTTGGAATGGTTTCAACATACCTTGAGAACTGCCATAACTAAAAGCTATAAAATCACTAAATAAAAACATGAATTAGAATTACTTTATACCTGATTTCTAGAAACCTGTACTCACACGACACATTGTTTAGTTTCCACATTAAATATTTTGCAGGTTTTGTCACCGGATACTGTTAGCACTTCCTTGCTATCAGGACTGAAGGAAAGCTGGAATTATGATTGGTTGATCAGTCATAAGAAACTAAAAATCACTTTGAAAATCAAAATGTAGACTCAAAGTTTAACAAGTAATTTTGAATGCAAAGATTTCGAAAAAGATATCACTTTGTATTAATTTAAGAAAAACAAGACTTGTCAACCCGCATCTGGTCAACTGTAACATATACAGTACTACTAAAGAGAGGGATACATTAACCCAGAATTCCACAAGGGATACTATAAGTGTGGCATACTTACACCATAGATGCCTCCTTTGTGGGCAGGTGGTCCCAATTCTCCAATCTTCTCTCCACTTGCTCCATCAAATACAAACGCCTAAATATAAAATTACAACAGGTACAATTTATTTATTTTTATTTATATGCATATAAAATTATAACAGGTACAATTTATCTATACACATATAAAATTATAACAGGTACAATTCACTTAAACTCATGTGTTATCCTTTAGCCAGGAATTGCCCTCAAAATAAAAAAAGACAAACAAGTTTCGAGTTTGGGAGAGCTTTAGTAAGTACTGCACTGCACTATGTAGTGTTACAGCATCTCAGCAAAAAGGCCAATATAAAGTGCAAAAAGATTGGTATGACATAACAATATAAAAATCAGAGTTGAATAATTGACTGACTCCAATCTCAGTCTCATCTTTATATTTACTTTTTCTCTTTTTCTACAATGGGTAATGGGGAAAAGTAATAGTTAACAGGTGATCAAACTGTGATGATTTGATTTTAATTAACGGAGTGGCTCCAGGACCGACAATTGTCGGTACTGGAGACTGTCAAGGGGTATTTGCTGGGGTACCGACAATTGTCACCTAGTAGTGTCAGATAGAGAACCGACAATTGTCGGTACGCAAGTGGCTGCTACGTGTTTTTGCTAGAGAGCCGACAATTTCATAAATAAATTCACTACTTCTAATTTCATAAATAACTTCATCACTGGTAGTCTAGTGGTTAGCGAGCACGATTCGAACACACTCGGTCCCGAGTTCGAATCCCGGCAAGACCTACTTTTTTCTTTTGAGGGGGGATAGTGCTTCTTTTGCAGTATGGAATCGTACAGGCATTAACTTGTAGTGAGCCATAATTTATTTCGACAAAAATTGATTCAACTTCCATCAAAATTGTCCTACAAGCTTCAATTAAAAAACATTTTAAAGCTCTTTTCTTGTTCTATCTAATGGGTCGATATATACAATTAGGAGGGGATGCTTTCGCCCCCGTCGACCTCTACCCTTACTACGCCATGGCACAGGAGAAATATCTCATTTGGAATATATCACTGTTTACTTTGCGTTTGGTAGCTCTCTCATGCGAGATGGAATCGTAGCCATTAACTAAGGGAGCCAAATGCAACTTCCATCAAAAATTGTGCTATAAGGTATGAGTACCGTAATCCAACACCAAATTCGAAAATTCATAACAATACTTTGCACATATGGCGTTCGTGACCAACTATGAAACGCTTACCCCCCCCCCCCCCCCATAGTGTTATACATCAAAATGCACCTGTCCATATAGGGGTTCGATTGACCTGCATCAAATTATAGGGAGTCAGGTTACTTTTTGAGATATCAGCGTCCGTTTATTGTAACTCGCGTTTGCTACCACTTCCTCAATTCTGATATGACAGGCAAACGCGTAGTAAACATCCTCACGTTCGGAACTATTTTGACCTACATCGCTATTTTCGTAATTCAAATGAAAGTTGAACTCCTCTTTATTTTGATACCAAATAGTGGCATACTAGGTACCCTAGAAGCCAACTATGGGTTATTTAGAACGATACCACAGGTTTTTAAATGGACTACTGTATATACCTTTTGGCGGATGGATATGGAACCTCATACCATACGATAAGCTCTAAAAAACATTCTAGCTATTTTCTTCTATCTAATGGGTAGCAAACGCCCCTTCCTTTTTATTGGGTTTTCAACGTTTACTACCATTCCCTGTTCCCGGGCTACCATTTTTTGACTGGGTTTGGTAATCCCCGGGTAACCGGGGCTAATGCCCTCCCCTGGTTTTGCACTTGTTCCCAAAATATCCGTATGATATCTGAAATATCCCCCCACGCATTGCGCATGCGCCAGAAAATTCGAAAATCAATATTTGTCGGTCCTCTAGCGTGTAAACACAGCATATCTCCCGTACCGACAATTTATTTGTCGGTCCTCTAGCGTGCCACCACATCAGAGTCTAGAGTACCGACAATTGTCGGTACTCTAGCCTTTACGTTTAATTAAATATTATGGGATATAGACTAGAGAGAACACTTACCTTCCCATCTGCCCCACCAGATATGAAGACAGAGCCATCTGGTGCATATTTGATAGCATTAACAAACCGTGTGTGCTCCTGAAAAAAACATTAAATTATTGTGAGCGCTAGTGAAGTATAAACATTGCTGTTTAAACATATATTGATGATTTTATAATTTCTCTCTCAATTGCTAATCGGAAACATATTCTTAAAAATTACTCGATCATGTTTCCAAAGTATAACATATTTTACAACATAATATTTTTTAGACTGAAGCTTGATATTTAATAAGTAGATGATATAATGATGGTTTCTTTTACTATATCAAATATTAGCCTTGCCCAAGTCGGTATTTTTTACTTATCTGATCTTGAATTATTACCGCCGGTCATAATAGAAATCAGATAGTAAAAGAGACCGACTTGGGCAAGGCTAATCAAATATCAATACAAATTAATTTTTTTTAAAAATACAAATAAAAATAAAAACATTCATCAATTTCAAATTCACATAAAATTTAATTTCTCAATTTTCGAAATATCAAATATTATGAATAAAACAATAGCGTAACTTACAGTAAAGTTGGATTCGTATTTGAAAGGTGGGCCCTTAAAGAATGATACAGACATATCTTCACTGGCCGTCGCTATCCTGAATGGACGTGTTGGCTTGAAATCACAGGCATTGATTGGCTTAGTCATTCCTCTGATTTCCCCAGTAGATGTTCCCGTGTCAGCGTTGAACACATGGCCAAATCTGAATAATAAAAACAATATGGTTAATCTGGACTGCTCATCAATATACTCCTTCCTTTTAAGTACGTACATTTGTATATAATTTCAGTGTTCTTTCCAGATAGTTACGACCTTCACATTCACCTTAATGTTACAGTTAATTTAAATTTCCAGTATGCTTTGGTCTAAATCTGGAAAAAGAAAAATATTACAAATATACATACATTTTTAATTGTTCACTCGACCTCAAAGAAAATCTTTTTTTTGGACTTTCAGAGCTATTTAGAATAAGTAATTTTCAAATCAAATCAAAAATATATATTTTCTCTGTTCTCTTTGAAAAATAAGGGGACACATGTACGTAGTTAATCAACAATGATTATGAATTTTATCTGATGCAAATAAATGAAATTCATGCTATGCTAATCCAGATGGTTTTAATCAGAGGAGAATAGTTTGAGTATAAGTGTATGCACAGTAACTCAAAAAGCCATTTTTTCAAAATCTCAACGAGGTTAGGTTAACAGGAACTCCAGAGATAAGCGGATCATCCGAAAAAAAAACGTGACTATAATGTCACACGTCATTCTTGATGAGATCATAATAAAATTACTAGGGGGTCATTTACAGAAACTTAGTAAAGTTACGAATTCATAAATCAATTGTTGTAACCATGGATATAATGACGTCACAGTTAGAGAACAATGGGTTTTACGAATTCTTAACTTTATGAAGCTTCTGTTAATGGACCCCAGGTCTGAAAATGATCTGATAATGATATAATTATATGAAAGTGCGTCATTAGATTTCCTGGGCTTAACACAATTCCTTAGACTCTGGACTTAACATATTATAAAACCTGAAAATATTGTTACAGTGAATGGGTACATATTTTTATCTGGAGCATATCTGAAACAGTGGCTTTCCACTCAAAATAAAAAAAAAATGTAAAAAATGGATAAATGGTATATAAGTAATCTGGACAGACAGCCATACAATTGATATAATCAGTATTATCGGAGCAATTATTGCTAATTGTCAGCAAATAATGACAAACATGCACGAATACGTAAGCTTAAGACAGGACTTTTATAACACAGGTGACTCACGTGGTAAAAAATGAATTACGAAATAGTACGTTGCTAAGTATATAAGGGGGATAATCAGCAATAAAGGCAAAAAAGGAGAAAAGGATCTCGAGAAACAACATCTACTGTTGAGGACTATTGTATATCATTATGGACATCACAGTTTCTTGGTTCCTAGCATTGACTATCGTGCAGGTAAGCACAATTTCATACTTTTATACTCAGTTATACAAATTAAGTTTAGCTTGTCATCATTTTGGTCATTGTTTGTAATTTCATTGACATTGGAGAGATTATGGGCTTTCAAGAGATCTTCTTGAAAGCCCATAAAGAGACTGTCAATCACTCGAGGGATAATGCAAAACAGCCAGCCAAAATAGTATCACACTTTAGGCAATCTGTAAAAATGAGTGAACTGTTAAGATAATATGATGATAATGGGCATCTATATAAGATGCTTTTAAAAATGTTAAACGATTTTCAATGTGTTTTTTCAATTTTTTTTTATTAAAATCAATGTATTGATGTTTGTGTCAATCAATGTAGGAATGTCTGATTAAAGATAAAGCTAGGATAAATTCATTGTTTTAATTGCATATACATTTTATTTTAAAGTGAGTAATACAATAAAGGAATAGGTCACCATTATGCAGGACAGGTGTAGAACACAGACATAATGGTTCTTTTTATTGATACATGTCTAAGAAATGTCCCAATGTATGAGACTTTTCAACCAAATCACCATTTTTAAATTTCAGGTTGTGTATGCATTCACAACAGTATCTAGTAATATTGCTGAAAAAATCCCAACTGAAGTTCTGAAAGACACAATAATGCCAACTGATGCTCTGGAAGACACAATGATGTCAACTGATGCTCTGGGAGACACAATGATGTCAACTGATGTTCTGGAAGACACGATGATGTCAACTGATGTTCTAGAAAACACAATGATGTCAACTGATGCTCTGGAAGACACAATGATGTCAACTGATGTTCTGGAAAACACAATGATGTCAACTGATGCTCTTGAAGACACAATGATGTCAACTGATGTTCTGGAAGACACGATGATGTCAATTGATGTTCTAGAAAACACAACAATGTCAACTGATGTTCTGAAAAACGTAAAAATGGCAACTGGTTTTCTGGAAGATACAACATTTACAATAAATGATGACAACATTCAAGGTCTTAATAATACCAGTGAATCACTATCAAATAAGCATCAATTACAAGTCGATAATGAGACATTAAACGGCAGAAACATGTCAAACAAACACAGTAATAATCGCTCTAATTCAACAACAATTAACCCCACTGGGATCACTCTTTCAACAGAAGAAAAGCGCATTAAGACATTTATTGGAGCATTTCTTTCAATTGTTGGTATACTGGCAAACATTACAGTAATTTGCGCTATTGCAATGTCATACAAACAATTAAACAAAAAATATCTTCTAATTTTGAGCATCATGATGTGTAACTTAATGACAACTGGTATCTTAACTCCATTATATCTTGTCAATTTACACCATTCTATTCTGAGCTCAAGTGAAGTATTTTGTAACATGTTTGCAATGGGTTACACTTTATCCACTGTTATATCATTTGGTTCTTATGTTCTCATGAGTATTTATCTATTTGTAGATTTGGGTGATTTCACCGAGAGAAAACATAAAGCAATTATTGTTAGTTTAGTACTACTTTGGATACTTGGTATAGGTGGAGTTGTCATCAATGGCCTGATTATAGGAGCCACCTATTTGCCAAAACAGGAAATATGTATTTTGAATCCAGTAGTGGGATTTATTGATAAAGATCATGATTTTGAGGAATTACATTTTAAACAGGAGCTCGTATGTGTAATTTCATTGATGATAATCATTCTAGTAAGTGGTATTCTGTATATAAAAACAAAGTTTTTGCAAAATCGTTTGATTCAACTTGAAAAAACGAGTACTCGTAGAATTTTTGACAAGTTTGCCAACAAAACAGTATCTCTTAAGTTCGATACAACAATGAATGAGAATGAAATTCAAATACAAGTACAGAATTTAGAACAAAATAGGCGGAATGTCAGAATTGGTGTTTCACATTTTCTGAAAAACTATACACAGACATATGCGATTCTTTTTACAATATTTGTGATATGTAATTTACCATTTTTTATTTTTGCAACTCTTGAGCCAAAGATGCCTGAAATCCCCACCTATTTGTTCAAACTACTCTTATTACTAAGGTGGTGTAGCTGCATTATTCACCCTATTGTTTATGGATTAAGATTTACAACATTACGGAGGGCAATTATTCGTCTCAAATTAGTACTTTGCCAGAATATGTAAGAACCGTATATGATTTTCCTTAAACATGTTCTTCAACGTCCTGTTTAGTAAAATAAAGGTTGTGAAAAGAAGAAGAAAATTTTTTTTTGTCATATACAATTTAACAAACAACAATTATCAGGGAGCTCTTTACTCATTAGCTACCACACTCATTACCCAATGCACTCATTACCTACCACACTCATTATCCAATGCACTCATTAACTGATGCACTCATTACCTACTTCACTCATTCCCTGCACTCATTAACCGATGCACTCATTACCTACCACACTCATTAACTGATGCAGTCATTAACTACCACACTCATTATCCAATGCACTCATTAACTGGTGCACTCATAACCTACCACACTCATTAGCTGATGCACTCATTACCTACCACACTCATTAACTGATGCAGTCATTAACTACCACACTCATTATCCAATGCACTCATTAACTGATGCACTCATTACCTACTTCACTCATTCCCTGCACTCATTAACCAATGCACTCATAACCTACCACACTCATTAACTGATGCAGTCATTAACTGATGTAGTCATTAACTACCACACTCATTATCCAATGCACTCATTAACTGATGCACTCATTATCTACTTCACTCATTCCCTGCTCTCATTAACCGATGCACTCATTACCTACCACACTCATAAACTGATGCACTCATTAACTACCACACTCATTATCCAATGCACTCATTAACTGATGCACTCATTACCTACTTCACTCATTCCCTGCACTCATTAACCAATGCACTCATTACCTACCACACTCATAAACTGATGCACTCATTAACTACCATACTCATTATCAAATGCACTCATTAACTGATGCAGTCATTAACTACCACACCCATTATCCAATGCACTCATTAACTGATGCATTCATTAACTACCACACCCATTATCCAATGCACTCATTAACTGATGCACTCATTACCCACTTCACTCATTCCCTGCACTCATTAACTGATGCACTCATTACCTACCACACTCATTATCCAATCCACTCATTAACTGATGCAGTCATTAACTACCACACCCATTATCCAATGCACTCATTAACTGATGCACTCATTACCTACTTCACTCATTCCCTGCACTCATTAACTGATGCACTCATTACCTACCACACTCATTATCCAATCCACTCATTAACTGATGCAGTCATTAACTACCACACCCATTATCCAATGCACTCATTAACTGATGCACTCATTACCAACTTCACTCATTCCCTGCTCTCATTAACCGATGCACTCATTACCTACCACACTCATAAACTGATGCACTCATTAACTACCACACCAATTATCCAATGCACTCATTAACTGATGCACTCATTACCTACTTCACTCATTCCCTGCACTCATTAACTGATGCACTCATTACCTACCACACTCATTATCCTATCCACTCATTTACTGATGCACTCATTACCTACCACACTCATTTTCCAATGAACTCATTAACTGATGCACTCATTACCTACTTCACTCATTTTCCAATGCACTCATTAACTGATGCACTCATTACCTACCACACTCATTACCCGATCCACTCATTAACTGATGCACTCATTACCTACCACACTCATTATCCTATCCACTCATTTACTGATGCACTCATTACCTACCAAACTCATTTTCCAATGCACTCATTAACTGATGCACTCATTACCTACTAAATTCATTCACTGAACTTATTATCTTTTGCAAAACACTTTCATCTTTTACTCAAAATTATATGTTATTTTATTTTATGTGCTACTTTCATTTTTTCAAAGATTCTGTTTTTCTTTCCCTCAAAATGTCCAATACATGTTAGGGGTAGAATATAACAAGGTCATTCTGCCCATCACGTTTCATAGTGAGTACATGAAATATTCACTCAATATAAACCAAACATACAGAACAAATCATTAACTAGTCTAATAATATACATATCTTAAAAAAAGAAAAAGTGACTCTTAAAATGCTGTAGCACAACACATTAATCTGTAATATTTTATAAAATGTAAATAAGATGTAAATACAAGACAATTCCATAAATATGTACATAGTTATGTTTAATTGCAATCTACTCAAAAATGCTTTACATATTGGAGTAACAAGGAATTGAAATGACAAAATGTTATCACCTAGTTGCTCACAAGATTATGGTCAGGATATCAACTCAGAAAATGTCATAAAATTTGTAATGTCGGAAAAAACAACAATCACACATATGATTAAAATAAAAATGACATGTTACAATCAAGAGAATAATAAGCAATATAGCATGTTAGAAATTGCCTTACTTTTCTTTGCCTTCTCCCACTGCTACTATACGTTGGTTGTCACTTGACCAAGCCAAATCGCAAACTTTGCCCGCAAAAGGTGTAAACTCATTTTTCAAAATATGCTCCTTGTTCACTGTATCCCAGATTCTGACCTTCCCAGAGGTATCTGAAATAACAATGTTCAGTAAAACCTGTCTTAGTGAACACCTCTCTCTGGTGAACACCTCTCTCTGGTGAACACCTGTGTTAAGTGAACACCACTTCAAGACACATTTTACATTGATTTCTGTATTAAATCCCCTACCTGTAGTGAACACCTACCTATAGTGAACACCTACCTACAGTGAACACTTATTTGTGGCTCTATAGGTATTCAGTATATACAGGTTTTACTGTATAATGTTTGTTGAGATAATGATAAACTTACCCAGACAAATATTGAGAAGCACCAATATGCTTTGGAAAAGTCATGATAATTAATATATTGTTTTGAAATCTTTAAATAAATGTGATTTAAATGTAAGCATTCTTTGTGTAGAATGACACTGTAAGTAAAAGTAAATTCTCTTAATGATAAATCACCAATGGAATATGCAATTCTGGAAGAGTGCACTTTGGCATCCTCCGACCACAGGGCTCCAGACATCATTCACTACATTCCTTCCTTCTTTCAAGGAAGGAGGAGTTCTGGAGGCCTGTTTTCAGATGATGGCTCTTTTACAGCTGTGCATTGACAATGAACTGCCTTGAATTGGATTTTTTAACTTAAAAGTTAACTTCCGTTTTATCGAAATGAGAAACAGGGGTCTTTGAATTCACTTTCATAGATATTTGAAAAATTGAACATCAGAGAAGGTGTAAGACTACCAATCATCACAAAAGCCAGAAAACATATTTTGTCAACCATTTTTTCACTTCCATTGTACAGAGTTCCTTTATCATAATATTCAATGAGAACAGAAGTTAAAACACCTGCTACACGAATAGTTCAACCAAGGTGCTACCAACATGTGTTAACTTATATATTATTACCCATTTATTACTTAATATGTCAATGTCACGTAGTGCACTGTAGTCTTGAATGTATGATAATGATTGAGAAATATATGACCTCAAAATTGAGGCTTTTCACTATGTATTTTAAAACTTTATTTTTAACAGACATGATCTCTACGTGTCTGTTTTACTAAATATATTTTAACAGGGGATTCACAGAATGTCTGGTCTATTTAACCTTTTGGTTTACATGTATGTAATCTGAGGGTTGATCCAAAAGTAATGCTCCTGCTCCACATACCTCGTTGTCATGTTGCTATGGTAACCAGACACCTCTGTTACTAGTAAAATTTATTGCTTATTTTTACACAAAATGAAACGGCCAAATATGAACAGTATTCATAAAGTATTAGTATTTTTGGTGCAAATGGTACAGAACTTGTATGTTATACTGCAATATTGTGAGATGTTTATTTCAGAAAATCTGTTTTAAGTTCATGTTCAAATTATTTGCTTGTTACAATTCCTTGATATTCCACCAGTTGCACAAAATATTTATACCCAATTATCTATAAAATAAAAATCTTTGATTTCCCTAAATAATTCTTATATTATGCAGTATGCAGTGGTGTAGCTTGGGTATTTTGTGAGTGTATGCCACCAGTGAGCGAAGTGAACAAAGCTTTGATGAGAGTTTGGGGGTTCCCCCAGAAAATGAGATTGTATTTGAACCATTCTGGGATGTTTAAAAAATATGAAATTCCAACTACTATGGACTAATAAAATTATTGGACATTTTTATCCAATATTTAATTACATCAACCCATTTTTAAATGATAGCATGATAAAACAGGTGCTTCTTGGAAATAAAACTCATTTGCATTCGCCATTTATCCTTTATTTTGCTTTTCATATAATGAATGTTACTACCTACACATATTCTGAATATCCAGTATTTTTAAAGTGTGTGGCAATTCAATATAATAAATCAACTTTTCTCTAAATTTTGAGAGTACGCCATGGTGTTTTATACCTATAAGACGTTACGTCATTGGTAGGCATGCACTCTATTTCACAGTGAGTATAATGGTGCATATTACCTCCTGAAGCAATGTAGAAGCCACTGGGGGAGTATTTAGCCACCGTTGTTTGACAAGAATGTTGTGTGTACACATCAGCAATGGAAGGGTCCTGCAATGGATTCATATTTAGAAAATGAACATGTTAAGTAAGAAACAATAGTTTCATTAAAGTACATGTATGTATTTTAAAGATTTTTAGATTAAAAGTTGGATAAGAATATTGAAATCATGAAAAGGTAATTAAGGTACAGCAAAGCTGATCCAAACACCTCCCTTATAATGTAATCACCTCTCCACCTAACACTTTCTTTCAGTTGCGTTTTATCTGCCATAGATTACCATTTTAAAATACAATGTATCTTTGAAAATGAGGACCAAACCTCTTTCAGTAGCATTCAGATAAGACAGGATTTACTATACATGTACTATATTTGCATCAGTTTTTGTCAGGATTGTGAAAATGATAATTTTGTAATCTCTCAATGGGAAAATTATGTAGAGATCACTGCTTAATCTTATTTTGAAAATTTATACTTTAAAATGTAACCATTTCATACACTACATCATATACTATATAATATTGCTTCATATTTTCACATTCTGTACAGTAAACCTATTTGAAAATCTGCTCTGCAGTCTCCATAGAAAAACACAAACCTCGATGTTTCTGATGATGATGCTGTTGCCATTGGTATACAGGAAGTTTTTTCCCTTTGGATCTCCACCAATCACAATGTGCTGACCACGCGTGGTGCGAGGAAGTGTCGCATAACAAGCCTCTGGAAAATAAGATGTCAACAAGGCATTAGCATGCAAAATGTCACCACCTGCCACTTGTTACAGACGCTAACTGCTGAACACCAACCATCAAATGACAAACACCAATCACCGAACACCATCCACAAAAAAAATGGAGACCATAACCACTTGTGTGGGGGTGACATAATTATGATATAGACTCATGAACACGGGATAGTCAGCCATTTTTCAACATTCAGTTTTTCGAAACGATAATTTCGTGCACCTTTTTGCGTATACCAGTCGTTATATAGGCTGTCCTTCGTTAAAAATAATATACCGGAATGAACCTAAGGAAACAAAGAACTCTAGGAACTACCAATTTTTAACAGTGGACGTGTCTTGAGGAAGAAATTGACTCTGGAGCTAATAATTTGGAGGTAAAAATTGGTTCGGGTTCGGGTCGGTTCTTGCATTTTAATCACTTCTTTACATATTCTTCAGATTTCTCAGCAACTAGTGGATGGATTACTACCATTTTGGATAACTTTGCTCTGTAGTGTTGTTCATCAGCATGTCGATTATTGAAAGGATTCCTTATGTTTTTACTGGATATATCTAACAATCATTTTCTACAAGTTTCAGTAAGCATCAAAAATGACCTCCCTTATACTCTTAATAAGCAGTACACACTCATCGGAGGGCTTGCCCGACGCCTCGAGACAAGCCCCTGTGGTAGAGCCTGATGGGGAGCAAGTCATCTACAAGTCATCCCCTCCTTCTTATAGGCCTATATTTATTATTTCATGCAAGACAGTAATATTAAGATGGTCTTGGAACAAGGTAAGCACTTCATCGCTGACAAATTTTATTCATGATCACCATTTGATCTACAAACTGATTGGTGAAAACAGAAAAAATTAAAAATCCAGGAAGTGAATCAACAAACTGCTAAAACTTTGTTTTTGGAGAACTCAGACAAACGCAGTAATAAGACATTACAATCATATTGAAGAAAAATAGTTTTAAATTAACGTAGACGTATTTTACGTATTTTTGATCATGACTTTGAATAGAAACCACTTACCAAGTGTGAAAGACATTTCTAAACTTTTTGAAGCCGGCTGATTCACCCGGAAGTGAGTAAGTAGGTTAGCGCACCTGCGCAACTGGGCATTACCAAATATGGACATTTCGTCTGCTCCACGTTTGCGCTTATTGTTCAAGTCAGTTCCGAAATTGTAATGCAATGAGGCTCATATTATTTTCACGTACACATAACCCATTCCATACAAGGCCTCCATCTTTTGATTTTGCACACAGTATAAAAATATAGGCTATATTGCGGGGAGAGATTCTGGCTATATTGTTAATCATAGATTGATTGATTGATTGACCTGCCATCTTTATTTAAAAATTATTCCTATCACCCTTTAGAATTGGAAGCATATGACATATTAGGCATGGCCTATATCAGACAAAATGCACTTTTCTTCAAGGATGTGTGTTTTTACTAAAATGATAAACATCAAATTTTGCTAATATGGAATCAATGGAATAGCCTAATGAAAACAAATTCTGAATTTTTTGTTTCATTTTTTGGGAGGGTGCAGAGGGAGAGGGGTTCCCCATTTTTCTGAATTTAACCAGTTCATGATAACTTGTTATTCACGGCACTTCATTAACGTTTTTGACTAAATATGAGGTATCAGATCTAGATGCAATTTCAGGTCAAAAAGAAAATAAAATGAACAAAAACAATCCGAAAGAATTTTCACTCGGGAGAGTGCGAGATGTTGTGGCCCTAGGAAATCTCTAGGAAACATTACAAATCCAAAGTACTATGTTGGTGATTTCTGGATACTCCTTTTAAAGTGTTAGACAAATAGAACTGAGAAAAAAAAACATAAACACATTTTCATTTTCTGTGGTGGATGTTTGCTAGAGCAAAGGTTGGTTCCCTCCCTCCAAAACATTTTTCCATTTCAAGGTCCTATTGGATGAAGCCTGGGCACCTTTAAGAGGTCTGAGACAACAATTAAAATAAATTCAGAATTAATTTTAATTGTTTTGGGGAATGCAAGGAGTGGCCATATACCCCCTAGAAAATTTACCATTTGCTTTTTGGTGATCTGGCCACTTAAAAAGTGTAAGTCAATTAAAAAAAAAAATTGAAAAAAAATTGTCAGGGCACACAACAGAAGTCAGAAAAAGTTAAAATAAACTAGACTTTTAAGATTGCAAGCAATCTCACGGAGGCCCTCTTAGGCATTTTTGACAATTTGAGGGCCAACTTGAGGTCAAATGTCAAATATGAGGTCAGCTGTGAACTCCTGAGAACTTGTAGATGAATTTTAAAAATAGATTTGGTCAATTTGAAGCAAGTTTAAAGGATGATTCTCGGTTTGGAGAATGAAGTTCATCACTCTAATTGAGCGCTATCCCTGCTTCGGACAAATTTGATTTTTTTACATGATATAGATTTGAATGTCTTCTTTTGAATAGACATAAATTAATTTGGGTAATATTTCTAGATTTTCCATAAACAAATTACTAGTGAACCACCCAACGTCGCTTCTATGATTCGTACCACTTTTTTAACTTGATGTATTGCATATTTTCGTGGGTCGATTTAAAAAAAATACAAACGACGTATACATGAATATGTCATAAGCATATCGTGAGATAATTGTTAGATTAGGTTTGCTATAAGTGACTTTAAAACAAAAAAATAAAAAACATTAGTTCACGTGTTAAAGTTCCATTGACCGTGACATCAAGGAAAATTGAGCTTTTTGTCATCAGACATCTTTATAGATGGAACTAGCTATGTACTACATTTTCAAATACACTCACATAGAACATATCTAAGATGTTCTTTTTATCGATGAAAAGATTCTTACATTCGGAAGTTACATTAAAATATCAATTGCAATAGCCGCCTGTTTTTAACATCCCTTTGTCACTCATCCATTAATTATCTCTGTGTATCCATTCTGATACTCATAGCATCTTTCTGTTTCACCTGAAACATCTCAGGGCTGAGAAGAAATGAGATGTCATGGTTTATCATGATGCTGTGTATCTTATACTTGTGTGTGTTCGATTTTGAAAGCGCCCGAGTGCAACCTAAGGAGCACATACAATACATTTTGTGTATGCCCAGTCTGGTCTTATATCTGCCTGCTCCGAGGAATTTTGGTGGCGATTTTTTGATTTTTGTAATAGCCTACTACATAGCATCTCTTGTGCGCGTAAATCCCAATGTTTTGAAATAGAAAATAGAGACTCAATTCTATATCGATAGTTTCACAGATGAGGGTAGCGAATGGGCGCAGCTTTGACGATCAACGAATGATATAACGATATCACGGATTTCACCGAATGTTATATTCATCCCTAAATAGCTTATTTATTTAGTCTTAAGATCTTTGTGATGTTTCTATTCATTGCAGTGACTCTGAAATTGCTGTGCCAGATATGACGTCACAGCGACTCATTTTCCAACATTTAAGCATTTAACTAAATAATTGAAATATAATTATTAAAGAATGAGGACCTTGTGTTTCACTCTGGACGAGGGGGGCCATGTCTCGGCTAGTTGTGCATTAACGTTTGATACTCTTTTGTGGATAAAAATAATGAATATATGTTAACGTAGCACTAAGCAGATACTTTTAAAGAATATAGTTACACTTAAAGAATAGGTCCAACGAATAGATATTGAATATAGGACTCGTTTGATGAACGATCGTTGTAATAATTCTAATAAACCTATAGAAATGAATCAACGATTAAACTGTATTCCAACAGACTCTTAACTCATTCTATTTGTTCATTAGTGGCAAAATAAGATTTCCCGGGAAAAAACATGACGTCACGAACAGAACCGGTTATGGATTTTTATCGGCAATGCGTTATGCAACTCGAATGTAAATTCAAAAGTGTTCATGTTATACCGTGTTCTGATTGGTCAGAAAGGAGTAACACTTTCCGAAATCACCTCATGGTTCAATGCCTTTTGGTTACAAGATTTTAGACGCCTTATGTTAGGTAATACTATCAACTGAGCGTGTTTATTTTCAATATTGTGTTCTGACTGGCCAGAAAGTAATTCTGCATGACTAGCTATGTGAAAACGTACCGCTGGGTCGGAGGCTCTAATTTAGGTATTTTTTTTTTTTGGTTTATCGGAGGAAAAAACGTGACTCCAAAGTAGTCATCTCTGAATCAATTCCTCACTTCAATGAATGCAGTTGCAATCAATTACACTAACACTTTATAAGCACGTTCGGAGATTATGAACTCCAACAACATATTCTAAACCCGTCCTGTTCGTGATGTCATGATAGAGATTTGAAATTGTGTTCCCGATTTTGAACATTAAATTTCACATTTATAAAAATGTTTACAAGAACGGTTACTGGTTCGACATGTTAGTGGTATTTACTTCATTTAGAACGTGTATAAACTGTATTTTGACCCCATGAGCATCACCCTATGCTTAGTGAGCGGACCTAATTTCAAGGGTGATGGTAAAGACGAGGCATGGCGCCCAAAAACCAAAGAATATTAGTACCATAATCTTTTAAGTCGTATTATTGCAGCATTAGGTGATGATATTGTGATATTTTATGCTGTTTTAGAAGTGAAAGATGTTAAACTATGCATACCGTTTGTTTTACATCCAATAAAACGAATAGTTAAGATGAAACAGTCGTTTAAAGATACAATTTGAATTTACCGCAAGAAATTACAACCTAATATTGTCAATATGTCAATAATTCCTGATCGATGTCACATATAAAGATATATGTACCTAGATATGTTTTATTTTTTCATATATGCGAAATAAGGCGGTCTCTAGTTATGTACATCCAATACAAAATGAATGTTTACTATTCGGCGATCAGAATTTCGATGACGAGCAATGGCGATGTAATTTGCGAAGAGGAGTGGCTATGGGCAAGCACTTAGCTGCTACGTGTACTGCGTAATTCAGCTAAAATGTACACTGTCAATTAATAAATTAATGAATTAGGGCAAGGTTCTCATAGGCTTCAATCGATGGTAAAAACTTGCAAAACATGTAGTCACTTGATTTTATGATTTATCAAAAAGTGTTGGTTGTTGAACGAATAAATAGAATAACTTAAAAGAATTTTAAAATTGTATAAATGGTAACTGGCCCACACTTTTTAACAAATGTTGACAAAGTCATAAAAAATCAGACGCATGACAGATGTAGTCAGAGATTGTTGATGTCAAAGGTTGTTAACATGGCAGGTGTATTCAGAAATTGTCAACATAATAAATGAAGCCAGACTTTATTTACATGACAAGTGTAATCAGAGGCTGTTAACATGGCAGATAGAGTCAGAGATTGTTAACATGACAGATGTAGTCAGAGGTTGTTAATATGACAGATGTAGTCAGAGATTGTTAACATGACAGATGTAGTCAGAGGTTGTTAATATGACAGATGAAGTGAGAGGTTGTTAACATGGCAGATGTAATCAGAGGTTGTTAACACTGCAGATGTAGTCAGAGGTTGTTACCATGGCAGATGTAGTTAGAGGTTGTTAACATAACAGATGTAGTCAGAGGTTGTTACCATGACAGATGTAGTCAGAGGTTTTTAACATGGCAGATGTAGTTAGAGATTGTTAACATAACAGATGTAGTCAGAGGTTGTTACCATGACAGATGTAGTGAGAGGCTGTTACCATTACAGATGTAGTGAGAGGTTGTTAACATGGCAGATGTAGTCAGAGGTTTTTAACATGGCAGATGTAGTTAGAGATTGTTAACATAACAGATGTAGTCAGAGGTTGTTACAATGACAGATGTAGTGAGAGGTTGTTAACATGGCAGATGTAGTCAGAGGTTGTTAACATGGCAGATGTAGTCACAAGGTTCTGCACTGTGGGATAAACTTTTGTCAGATTAATTTTTTCTGAGACAACATAATCACTGTTAACACATTGTGTAAATTGTTTATTGATCAGGTGGTGTATTATTTCATCAAAGTCTTTTGATTTTCCGTGACAGTAGTAACACTGGAATCCCACATATCTGAAAATAAACAGGATAAATGTAATCCCTATTCCACGGCTCGTCCAAACATGCTTTTATTACCATAACCATTGCTCTTCCTTTCGAGGAATCAAAATCTCCTGATTTGACTGCAATT